TTAAATTATTATTATTATTTTAATATTATTATTATTTTTGTTATATTATTATTATTTTTGTTATATTATTAATATTTTATTTTAATATTATTATTATTATTTGTTAATATTATTAATATTTTATTTTTATTTTATTATTATTTAAATTTGTATTTATTTATTTTTGTCCCCCCTCCCTGCTTGTTAGCTGGCCAGGGAGGGGGGCTCTCATTCCCTGGTGGTCCAGTGGCATTGGCTGTGTAGGAGCGGGGCTGGCAGAGAGTTGTTACCTTTCGTGCAGCTCCTGTCAGCTCCCTTCTCTCTCCTCCAGTCCGGTCAACTCCCCTGTCAGCTCCCACTGCAAGTCTTGCGGTCTGAGTGCCGTGCGGAGCGTTGCCAAGGTAACCCGTGGCAACGCTCTGACCCCGAGGCTCTCGCGAGACTTACAGAGGAGCTGACCGGACCGGAGGAGAGAGAAGGGATCTGACAGGAGCTGCAGGAAAGGTAAGTAACAGCTCTCTGCCAGCCCCCAACAGGACCGCCGGGCTTGTAATGAGCCCGCCGGTCCTGGTCTGTAAGTTGCCATAATACAGACAGTGACTCGAGTATAAGACGAGTGGGGATTTTTCAGCACAAAAAATGTACCGAAAAACTTATATACTCGAGTATATACGGTATGTAGAAAATGTGTTGCTTTTTCAAAAGTTTAAATGTACAGAATATCTGCAACGGTTATGGGCAATCGGCCCGAAAGGCGACCGATAATCTGTATCGGCATGGGCTCTGGAAAAATTATATTTATCAATACCTACTGTGATGCACTAAAACCATTTGTAATAAAACCTTATTTATTCATAAAAATAAATAAATGAAAGTGGTGTTTTATGCAAGACACAAGTGCACGGGAAATCATATTTATTCCTGAATAAAACACAATACTTATGTCCGATGCCCTGCCAATTGCAATGATCAAAGATTTAATGTAAAGCTTCTAATAATATTTTTATAGTGAAATTAAATATTTGTCTTACAAGCTGTTTGTATTCTCACCTGCCAAGGGAGTACATCATTATATCAGATAAATAGCTACCTATTATTACCTTGAGGCGTATGAACTGCATCATGTTCAACTCACTGAAATGCATTTAAATATTCCCATAGTGGTATCTAATTACCTTACTTGTTAAATGTTATTTTTAGTGGAAATGTTGTAGTCATACAGAGAGAGATATGGCAACCACCTCCCTGGGATTGGAAAGTATGTATGTACCAACTGCTCCCGCAGAGAAAGTGGAGCATATAACTCTGATTCCAACATGGGAAACTTTGTATATTTTCTAGGCGACAGCACCCTTCTAAACACTTTTATGGGGAGGCATTTTTAGGCCTTGATTTACATATCAGAAGCCCATAGTTATGGAAATTTAAAGGGTCACTATAGTCAGGGCCGTCTTTAATAATGATTGGACCCTGAGAAACCTCCCCCCCCCCACTCCCTGGCATGCAATCACGGCATCCACCCCAACGTAGTGACTGAACTAAAGTAAAAAAGAACCCTAGTGCAAGAATTTTATTGAGCCCCCTAATTGCAAGGTTGGACAAAAGGTAGAACCCTATCTGTCATGCATCTCCAATAATACTTTGACAGCTGGGGCTCTAGCAATTTCCCATGTTTGCAGGGTTGTATTTGGCACTGAGCCATGTTTGTGTGTTTCAATATAAGTCTGTGTTTGTGTGAATGCGTTTGTATGTGGTGTTGAAGTTTAAATGCAAGTGTGCATTTATGTGTAGTGTTGGTTTTTGAATGTAGGTGTTTGTTTAATATAATTTTGGTGTTTAACACAGGTGTGTTTGTATGTAGTGTTGAAATTTCAATGCAGGAGTGTGTTTGTGTGTAATGTTGAAGTTTGAATGGAGGGGTGTATTTGTATTTAGTGTTGGTGCTCAGATGCACAGGTACACACACTGACACACATGCAGATACACACACTGACTACATACAGATAAACACACAGATACACACACTGGCAACATACAGGTACACAAACACATACAGATACACAGGCACATACACTGACAGACATACTGACACACACGCGGATCATGAGCCGTTCCAAGGCACATGCACTGATAGACATACTGACACACATACACGGACAGAAATATGGACACACACAGACATACTGACACACACACAGACATACTGACACACAGATACATACACTCTCAGACATAATGACACACACACAGATTTACTGACACACGCAGACATACTGTCACACACAGACATTCTAACACACACACACACATTCTGACACACAGACATACTAACACAGACAGACACACTAACACACACAGACATTAACATACACACACACACATGTAAAATTTACCTTTTTAAACCCACCCTCCTACCTTTTCATGGAGGGTGGCTTCCCTGTGGTCCAGTGTGGTGCCTGAGGCGGATGGGAGTGAGGAGCCTCCATCCTTACTGCCGCCTCCTCCCTCTCGCACGACTCCTCCTGCCCCCTCCTGCACAGCATCTTTCTGTCACTTCCTCCCATGCTGCTGAAAAAAAGGGCCTAGTCGCACTGTTAAAGGGCCACAGCGTAACTGGGCCTGGGGTAGCTGCCCCGTTTGCCCCGCGTTAAAGAGGGCCCTGACTATAGTCACCAGAACAACTACAGCTTATTGTATTTGTTCTGGTGAGTAGAATCATTCCCTTCACGCTTTTTGCAGAGAAAATGCAGTGCTTACATTACAGCCTAGTGATAACTCCACTGGCCACTCCTCAGGTGGCTACTAGAGGTACTTCCTGGGGCAGTGTTGCACATTGTGCAGTACTGCCAATCAGTGTCTCTACCCTCTGCATGGAGACACTGAACTTTCCTCCATAGAGATGCAGTGATTCAATGCATCACTATGAGGAGATGCTGATTGGCCAGGGCTGTGTTTGACTTGCGCTGACTATTCCCCCAATCTGCCTTCTTGACAGTCTCAGCCAATCCTATGGGGAAGCATTGTGATTGTCTCAGACCACAACTTCTAATCAAGTTAGTAGACGTCAGGACGGTCAGAGCCAGGAGCTTCAGACTTGAATAAGTACAATTTTACTATATTTAGGGGGGCCAGGGAGGCTTGATGGTGGTTTTAACACTATAGGGTTAGGAATACATGTTTGTGTTCCTGACCCTATAGTGTTCCTTTACGGTGCCACTCCCCCTGTTTTGTGAACCAAAATTAATTTGTTGTCTTGTGAATAGATCCAAAAGTGTTAACATTAGTTATTAACCAGATTATAGTGTATATTAATTTGGGGGGAGGGGCTTCTGTCACATCAGCTGACCCACTACACCAAATCAGTGTCATCCAAATATGCATGTAACTGATGTTGTTAATGAAGAATTGGAACTTACCCATTAACAATATGGCAAACATTGGATGAGCCTTGTGGACCTCTGGTTTTGGTCAGGTTGCTCAAAAGCTATTTGGCCCAAAACTGTGGATGAGGTCTGCAGCCTAATAGCACCATAACCACTATATTGGCATGTAATGTTATGATGCGTAGACTGCCCTTTTAAACTTACCACAATTCAGACTTAAAATGGAGCAGACAAAATGATATGAAAACAACTGTTAAAAAATGGTCTATTATAGTGATTCACTATAATTTATTACAATTAAAATTATGGCGTATTGTTGCAGGGGAATACTGAAGAAGCCACGCACAGAGAGTCCGGACACAGGTCTATTTAGGAAGTCTTTATTTTCACCGACCGGGTCTCAGCTGAACTCCTGTTCAAAAGATCTGAGTCCTGAGCACATGGAGTAGAGGCTTTTTATAAGCTATGCATCCCCTATCTGTACCCTTACACCAATCAACAAACAGGATTACCTTATATGGACAAGCAGCATGGCCTTGAGGAGAATGTAATGTGGTTTCAGTTCTTGCACTACAAATGCATGAGAGTTGGAATATCCTGTAGTGGTTATGGTGCTGGAGTGGTAATAGTGTTAGGAGTGTTCCTTTAACCCCGTAAGGACCAAACTTCTGGAATTAAAGGGAATCACACATTCATGCTAGACTCCACAAGACTGGTTTCTGTGAAAGGCTTGGATGATTTTTGCTCAATGATTACTGGTCTAGGTTGGACTTTCTACCCTGGATACTGGGCCAGGCTGGACTTAGCTGTCCATACTGGTTACTGAGTGGTTCTGAAATGTTGTTACCACAATTTGATTTCTATCAATGAAATAAACACTATTTTTAATGAATTGGGTGTTTAGGTTATAATTTGCTGCTGCCACTCCATGTGTACAATATCCATTGCTGACTCATTATCATTTTTGCCTTTTAGCTGAAAGCTATAGTCAGTGTACAACTCACTTAAGGAGTTTTCCTTGATGTGGCAGGTGAGCTTGCACTTTGATGGCCATTGGAGTGGTACTGTTATTTCAATGTGCATGAGGATTTGGGATAGTGCACAGGAAACTTTTTGTAGTTTTCTAATGAATTATGGACCCCATTGCTGCCATAGAAGTGGGAGTTTGAGCATGTGGCTTAGTTTTATATGGGGATCTTTTTATATAATTTGGCCGTTAGAAAAATCATTTGAAAAACTATGTTCAGGAAAAATGCCTATGCTTCCATCCAACAAACCTATGCCATTAGAATAACATCAACACGGTATGGACTTGATCTTTATTTCTTTCCAAGCCAACCCTTAAAAATAAAGAATATTGATGCATGACTTTCCACTGGTTATTTTAAAAGCGTCTGCTGCTCAATATGCGTTAACAAAACTGGTAGAGTGACTGACGTTTCCTGATGACATTGATGATTTTCCTGTGTGTGATTGTATGAATATATACTCGATTTATATTCTATACTCAAGAAATTCCTTCTGAAGATACTTGATAAAAAAAATGAGGGCCCTGCAGTTTTCAGACAATTTCCTCATTCCGAACTCACTCAACCAAATGAAATTCTTGTCCGACACGTTTGTCAAAAACCCTCTGACCTTTTCAGTTGTTAATTTGCTTGTTACCATAGGAAGTAAATTTTACCAACAAATCTAGAACTGTCTGCTAAGACCGTCTTGTTAAGAAGGTCCCTTTAAACTCTTTAAACGGACCTCACCAGTGTTTTCTGCTGATACAGAGTGTTCTGATAACAGGAACAAGGATGAAGATTTTTGAATTTATTCTTCTGTCGTCTGCTGTTTTATCCAACTTCTCAGTTTGGGCCATCATTGAGCTTCCTCCTGGAGTCAGTCGCAGTAAGTGCTTACTTTCTTCGGTTAATGTCACTTTACAAAATTTGCATTTTTATAGGTGCAAAAGAATGAAGTATTGCAGATTCTTCTCATTTTTTATTGAACTAACAGAACATTGTAGTGATTAGCTTTTTAGTAAAGTCTAAAGCATTTAGACTTAAGCAAGGGAAGGAATACCACAAAGCTCGTCTCTACAAATTTCTGTTAGTCCAATAAAAAGATATTACAAGAAACTACAATACTTTATTATTTTGCATCTACAATCACTGGACTAATATGGTAACTCAAATGTAATGACTATTTTTATTGATTAGTTTATTAAGACACAATTACTAGTCAGTGGTGGCTGCCTTTCTACTTTTTATTTATAGAGGGATAAAGCAGTAATAACCAAGAAGTATGACTTAGACACTGACAGGGAAAGTTAATAAACAGAATTGTTGAGAATTCATTACGGAATGCAAGACAGTTGGAACGATGTACCCTGTTTACTTAATAACCGCTCTAGAAGATCAGATCTCGTAGACTAGAATGAGAGGTTCCTGATTGGTGGAGCTTTTCCTGGTGAGAGACGTGGTCTATCTGTAGCTGCAATCAGACAATTTTAGGTGTGCAGTTACAAATATATATATATTTTTGCTGTGCATAGAAGGAATACAAGTTTGCAATGTCATAATAACGGTAGTGAGTAGGGCAAGATATTCAGTAAAGCATTTACATGACATATCGAGAATACTGCACATATTTACAATATAATTTTATCAGGTTAGGCAGTCATATCTAAATAATGGACAGAATCTAAGCTTTGTAGCAGACAAGGCAAGATAGACGTGGAGATACTGAGTATTAATGCAATAAAACATGCTTAATAATGCTTCAAGCAAAATGAAACTGAAATATAAAAAGAACATGCCGAAGTAAGGCAAAATGCCATCCACTAAAATCAGTAGGGACCTCAAAGCTTGGGCTGTAGGCCATCACACAATGTGAAATTTATAATCCGGCCTAATCAAAAAGCTCAGGATGCACGTAGTAAATTTGCTGAAGATAGCTGCAGAGCGATCCCAAGGGAAGTCACATTTCCAGGCCCGTTCGAAGGCCGACATTTCCAAGCCACGGACTCAGGGGCTCTCAGAGTCTACGTCCCTCCTAATTGAGAAACAGCAGAAGACCCAGATAGTCTGTTGCCATTTTTGGCTGACGGTCCTTATTATTTGTGGCCGATGTGGTAGGGCCAAACGTTTGCATTAGCCCATTTTTCCCATGCTAATACCAAGGACAATCTATTACACTGTTAGTTATAACCACTTATTTATAACAGAAATATCGAAAGCCAAGTAGAACTCTGCTAGTAATGTTACATGATTGTGGTGATCACAAAGTTTACTAGTGAAGCTGGCCACAAATAGCTTGAATGAGTCCTACACACCAGAGGAACGCTGTGACAGCCAACACTGTTGTCCTACGGCATGACTGACAGATGACGCCTGGCTGTAATTTTGCATACCGGGTTCAGCTGTCAATTGTTGCTAGCAGTGAGGCAGTTCAGCAATAGTAGCTGATTGTTACCCAGGCTTGCTGATCACCATTGAAGCCAATCATAGTCACTTGCCTTATATGTGATTGCTGTGATTGACTCTCAAAATGATGAGCCAATTTACAAAATATTTAGTTAAAGGGACACTCCGCAGCCCAAACACAAAACAATCATTTATTAAGCATTTAATTATGCATTTTTTTCATTGGAGTTGTCTAAAAACAGCTTGCAAAATCTGCTGTTCTCATATATGCAGCCTTTGCAAGCCCTCCCCTTCTAACCTCGTCCAGACTTTCTGTTACGGTCCAATCACAGACTACCCAATGCAGCTCAATGAGAAGTCTTTGCAAGGCAGGTGCTTTAGGCAATTGCTGCTTCTTAAGGTTAGCTCCACTGAGATAAACAACCTAGGAAGTAACAGGACTCGTCTGATTGACAGGCAGGGGTTGTAACAAGGGTAGTTTATAAAAGTATGAATTTCTATTGAATTTTTATATGCTTTTTGTAAAATGAACACATTCTTCACACATAAAGCACTTCCGCAAGCTAAAGTGCTTTAGAGGTCTGGAGTGTACACTTTAAGCCTAGTATAAGAGTTAGTTAAAGGACCACTATACTGCCAGGAAAACATACTCGTTTTCCTGGCATTATAGTGCCCTGAGGGTGCCCCCACCCTCAGGGTCCCACTCCCGCCGGGCTGGATGGAGAGGAAGGGGGCAGCCACTAGAGGCTGGATTAACCCTAAAGTAAACATAGCATTTTCTCTGAAACTGCTATGTTTACAGTAGAAAGGGTTAATCCTAGGTGGACCTGGCACCCAGACCACTTCATTAAAGGACCACTATAGGCACCCAGACCACTTCAGCTTAATGAAGTGGTCTGGGTGCCAGGTCCAGCTAGGGTTAACCCTTTTTTTTTATAAACATAGCAGTTTCAGAGAAACTGCTATGTTTACACTGAGGGTTAATCCAGCTTCTAGAGCCTCTACTGGCTGTCTCATTGACAGCCGCTAGAGGCGCTTGCGTGCTTCTCACTGTGAAAATCACAGTGAGAAGACGCCAGCGTCCATAGGAAAGCATTGTAAATGCTTTCCTATGAACTGGCTGAATGCGCGCGAGGCTCCGGCTGCGCATGAGCATTCAGCCGATGACGGCGCTGGAGAAAGGTAAGATTTTAACCCCTTCCTCTCTCCAGAGCCCGGCGGGAGGGGGGACCCTGAGGGTGGGGGCACCCTCAGGGCACTATAGTGCCAGGAAACCGAGTATGTTTTCCTAGCACTATAGTGGTCCTTTAAGCTGAAGTGGTCTGGATGCCTATAGTGGTCCTTTAAGGCTAGGGTTAGCTAGGCACAGGGTTAGCTATGGTTAAAAATAACTTAATAGTGTGATGCTGGTCAGTATCGTGTCACTTTACCAAGTAGTATGTCAAACTGGGGAATGTCTCTCATTTGATCCTCAATGTTCCCCCCAAAAAACAGGAGAAGGTAAACACATGCTGTATTCAGGAGATGCTGCAGAATATAAATCCAGTGTCTTTGCAAAAGTGTAAAAATTCCTTGGTCACAAATGCACAAATTTTCACACAAGTAACATCATACCTATTTATTGTTCAACCCACTAAATTATTATTGTACAAAGTGCAACTCAAGCGGTAGATCTTTATGGAATGTTACCAGCTGACTTAGTTGCATTTAGTGAATGGAACGTTATATTAAAGTCTTTATGATATAATTTAGGCATACGCCCACTTGCAAAATGAGTTTCTTGTAAGCGTATAATTTTGGAATTGTGTTTTATAGTGTCAAATAAAAGCCACCTTTTATGATGAGTATTTAGGTCTTTTGTATTCAGAGATAATACTTTTCTTTTCATCCTGCTTACATAGATTTCCAAGCCTACCTGGCGCTCGGTTGCATCCCGTTTTTTCAAATTTTATATACCACGAGAACATATTCTGCACATTCTTTTTAATATTTTTCTAAGGCAACAAATGCACAAAACAACAACAACAAAAAAGAGATTAGAAATAAAACGTCACAAATCCCTTTTTATATTACATGGTTATGTACTTAAGTAAGAATTTAGGATGAATTCAAAGTGATTTTCAAATTTAAGGTCAAAATAGTCAAAATGGGGGGGGAAGCTCTAAGACAGCTATGCTTCCAGTTGAGCTAATCAGGTCTTAAAGGAACACTATAGTCATCATAACCACTTCATCTCACTGAAGTGGTATGGATGCAGTGTCCCAGTCCCCTTAGCCCTGCAATTCAAAACATTGCATTTTTTTTTTTTGAAGAGTTATTCACTAAACTGAAAATTCCAAGTGAATTTCACATTTAAGGCCAGAGTAGCCGAACTGAAAGCATAGCTGACTTAGAGAATTTTTCCATTTCAGCTATTTTGACCTTCAGTTTGAAATTTACTTTGAATTCTCATTTTAATAAAAACCCTGTAAACCTGACCAAATGAAATAAGTGCAAGGTTAATGGTGTCTATTAAACTAACAAACTCAAATTTTCATAGCGGTTCATATTTATAACTGTAACATTACTATACAGTTTCTGAGTCCGTGGTTCACTGATGCAGGCCTTCGAACAAGCTCACTGGACCCACTGGCTTCTCACTTGCAGCTACCGAACCTTGGAATTGGCTGACTTGCATGATATATAATATAGTGCCTTACTGTCTTTTCCTTACAGTCTGCTGAATATAGTGACTATGTCCCCTCTTGGTTACCCTTTATGTTGCTTATTGTATCCTGAGAGCGTCTTGAGGTGTTGTGACTGCAGCCTAGACCACGGTGGCGTTTACTTGAGCTATACAATAGCATTGTTACTATTTCTCTTCTATTTTCTTCATGTGGAGTTCAACCTGTATTCCTACTAGACATGCATACCTAGCTTGATATCTGATATTATTATAAAAAGATTGTACTTGTTGTGCAAAGTATGAATGGCTTTGTTTTGACATTCTAAATTTCTATAACCACCTTATCTATTCCTCAGTTAAAAAAAAAAAAGACACTGGGACGGCAAAACAAATAAATAAACTACCATACAGTATCTCATCCTCATGTGTAGCCATGTCCTCTGCTATTTTAACTCTAGATCTAATTTTTTCCAACTTGTGAAGCCCACTCAGAATTCCCCAGTTATTGCTATGTTTATGTAAAGCCTAAGCAGTTGAAAAGGGACAGGGACCTCCTTCCTGCACCATATCTGATGTGTGACTGCAAAGACTGGGATCGAGATTGGATTGTCCTTTAACTCTTTAACAGTAATGGTCAATCTTACAATTTTTAAACCTAAACCACTAGGACAGTGTACAAAAATTACCTAGCCCTTCCATGTGTCTCATCCCCCTCCCCAACCCCTCCATGTGTCCCAATTACCCCCAGCCCCTTCATGTGTATAATTCCCCCATGTGTCTCAATCCCCCAGTCCCTTCCATGTGTCAACCCCTGTCCCTTCCGTGTGTAAAATCCCCCCCAGTCCCTTCCATGTGTCTCCCCTATCCCCTTCTGTACCTACTCCCCATGCTCTCTGCTGTCCATTTAGTGTGGCAGAGCAGACTGTGGTACCCATTCTAACAGGAAGTGCTCTCAGTGAGGCCCCTCTACCCGCAGTCCGATCAGCCACACTACAGGCAATAACTGGTAAGAGGGGTGCGCTCCCCTTCTTCCGGTCGGCCAGCAACTGTGCCACTCGGCCTAAGCAGATGTGCACCAGCCCTGAAGTGAAGCGGAACCACAGCTGCAGGGGTCGACAGGGCGACTGTGATAGTTACTCCATGCTCATTTCTGTAATGGAGGCGGAGAGCGGTGCCCAGTAGAAGTCAAATCAAACTAAAGCAGTTTGACTCCTTACAATGGGAGAGTGTCAGGACAATCATTTAGTGCACTGTAATGTTTTTGGTTCTTGGAGTGTTCCTTACGCTTGCTGTTTTTGGCATTTCAAGTTTAAAGAAAAGTGTGAGGGCGTGATTTACATTACGCGGGCAGCCCCAGTTACAATACTGTGTCCTGCAGCCCAGCTTTGTTCCCCCAATATCCTGTGTCTCTGAGACCCCGCAGAAAGACAGTATCCCATCCTGAATGTATGAAGGTGTGCATTTCAAAATAATGATTTGTTTAAAAACTGTTGAATAAAGGATCCCCGTACATAACATCTCCCACGTGCACACTTTGTTATTTGACGGAATACATTTTCCAATATTTTCTTGTACTTTGGAAGCAGTAGTTCCACTATGATTTTTGTTATGTTGTGATTACACAAGAGGTGCTACGGACTTGAAAACTGGCTAGTGCCTCCAGAAAAAATAAGTCTTTAATATGCATAATAAAACAATTTCCATGACATGTTTCCCGTGCTGAGTAATGTTTAAAGGAAAAACAGGAAACAGGACACACAGTTACTTTAAATATTATTTTCTGTTAATGACTTACAAGACACAAGTCCCATGTCTCATGAAAGGGTGTTTGTAAAGTTGGACTTTATCCAGAGGAATGTAGTATTAAGGGGTACCAGTTGTAATACACATTAATAACACATATTAAAAAGCATAATATTTTATTTATACAACATTCTAGCAGAAAGGCACTTTAAACATATCGTACCTCCCCCACCTATCAGTCAATCCTTCACATGGATATCTCTATACAGGCAGCATATAGGGCTATGCCAGGATTGAATGATAAGGGAGAGCAGGAGAACCCCCAGATGTGGATCTCCTGCTCTTCACCACAGTGATATTTCCTCTGCAAGCATTTCTTATATTGGAAGGAGTGTAGATTATTCTGACGCCCTCACAGTAAAGCCAGCATGTAGAGAGAGGTAGGGGTCTTTAGAAAGATTAGCCCAGGTTGGTGTGTCCACAAACAGGGTCAGTTGGTATTCAGAGAGAGACAGAACCAGATGGCAGGCGTTACAATAGTGTAACACTCAGGAACCTCCAAGAATGTATCTTTGTGATAATGGATATATTTACTGCTTTGGGACAAGTTATAGAAAAAAGGAATACTCCCAGTAATGTGTCTTTAAACTACAATAAATATATTTAGAAATCAGTCTGTGTAAATAAGATAAATTGTTCTTGTTCTAAATAAAATGTTAGTTGCATAAATTGTTATTAATAGGTAACCTTAAAACACACTGCCCCTGCCAACACCCCTTAAATAAAAAGTGTCCCTTAGTCCATTTGAAAATGATGTTGAGAGGTGTGCACAGGCAGAATATCAGTAGGTGTTCATTTGAAACAAAGCTTTATTGAATATGGACAAAATCTGACCGAAACAACCAACATTTTTGATAATGTTTTATATTTTAAATGCATTTCTTTATATCTTTGCAGGATTATATTGTGAAACTTGCTTAGCAACTGTACAAGGTATGTATGTCTTTTTTTTTTTCACGTACTTTTATTGGTTACTTCCACACAGTGTTCAAAATGTATGTTTCACTTGTCTTTCAGGACTGAGGAAAGCACTAAGCACTCTGTCTATAGAACCCAGTCGTACAAAGATCAAAGCAAACATTCAGAAGGCTTGCGAGAAACTCACGTTTGAAGATCAGAGTGTAGCAGTTGATAAGGCATACATTGCCTGTAAACATTTACTAGGTAAGAGTGTAGCAAAGATAGGTGTGTCACATGAAATACAATGAAAATAAATCATGTGAAAACCAGGCGGGTTTTGACAGTTGTAGAATATAGGTTCGTAAGGTAAAACGGTCATCTTTTTGTATTGTTCTTTAAAATAAAAGATGGCAGGTATTATAGCATCATTTAACTTTTTTGATTCGTACTCAGATTATGTACATAGTATCAGTTTCGTGCCAAATTCTTCCGGAGTATAACATATATACTATACTTTACTCAATAACACGAATATCATACTCTCTTATTGAACAAAAGTAGTATCTGAATTTAGTGCATCTCCCAACTGTCCTGGGTTCCAGTGTAACTGTCCCAGTCTTTTCTTACCAAACCAGGCCTTTTCTGTCTTAAATCAAAGCAAAGCAAAATTTCCATTCATTAACATCCCCATCCACCTCCCCCCCCACCACAGTGTCCTTCCCAAACCACCATCCTGGATCCATACCTTGTATTGTTAGGTGGTAATTTATTTGGTCTTTTACAGTGAGAAAAAAAGTATTTGATCCCCTGCTGGTTTTGAATGTTTGCCTATAATTTTAATGGTAGCTGTATTTTAACAGTGAGAGACAAAATAAAGACAACAAAAAAATCTCCAGACCTTAAAGGACCACTATAGCACCCAGACCACATTTTATCTCAATTAAGTGGTCTGGGTGCCATGTCCCCCTAATGTTAACCCTGCAGCTGTAAACATAGCAGTTTCAAAGAAACTGCTATGTTTACACTAGGGTTAATCCAGCCCATAGTGGCTGTCTCCCTGACAGCCGCTAGAGGCCTTCCGAAATTCTCAGTGTGAAAATCACATTGAACTCATGCAGCTTGAGTTCAGATCCCCATAGGAGAGCATTGAGTAATGCTTTCCTATGGGCGGTTTGAATGCGTGCGCGGCCAGTGCATTCGGCTCCACTCGGGAGCTGTCATTGGCAAGAGGAGGAAAGGTCACCAGCGCCGAGGTAGCCCTGTGCTGGATTAAGTTAAGTGGCTGAAGGGATGTATGACAGCAACTACAGCACATGTGCAGTAGCTGCTGTGATGGAGAGCAAGAAATGAAATTATAAAATGTTTCCATAATTTAATGGTGTGGCCTTCCCCTATACTCTAGAATTCTAATTGTGTCTCTACAACATTTGTAAATGTGTTTGTTGTAGATCACCATGGAGAGAAGTTTGAAGACGCTTTTCTCATTGAGAAAGACATCAGTCTTGAGACGAACTTATGCTACATTTATTCAACTGCATGCACGGACGTTAAGAGAAAGCATTTTCAGGTTTGTATTAGCCATTGTTTACTTTGGTCGCATGGGCTATATAGATATTTTTTTAATTCATCTTTATTGAAATGTTATACATTAGAAAACATTCATATTAAATAGAAATACTTATATACTAAGGAAACTAATTTAATCACAATAACATGTGAAGAAAATTGTAAAGGAGAAGTTCTGTACTCATACAGAGCAGTTTCAGGTAATGGCACCTTAATAAGACAGATTGTCTAATATAAAAAAAAAAAAAAAAATTTTTCAAAGCTCTTGAGTTCCTAATTATTTTTTTAAAAAAAAGCACACGTTACATAAATTAGACATGTACAAAAAAGAAACAAAACCAACATAAAAAAAAAAAACTTCTGGGAAGAGGAAGGAAGAAAGGTCAAACAAGCTATTATTAGGCAGTCACTTTTGGTCTAGTGTGCTTAGCCAGGGGAAAGACTCCACCTTGTTCTGTAATAGTGCATAAAGGAGGTTTCCCTTTGACATACCTAGATTGGTTAAACATGTTGAATCCTTATATGCAGTGGTGTATCCTGGTTTTGTGCTGCCCTAGGCACATTAGCAGACAAACACACACAGTTAGACACACACTAACAGACAAACACACACACACTCACTCACATTAACACATTTTTAAATATTTTTATTTAACCCCCCAGCCTCCTTACCTTTGGGAACGCTGGAGGAGGGAGGGGTTCTCCCTCTCCCTGGGGTCTAGTGGAGCTGCTGGGTGGTCGGCGCTGGCGAGGGAGCACTTTCCCCTGAGCTCTCTGCTCAGCTCCCTAGCGCCGCAAAGTGATTCTGGGAGCCGGGATATGACGTCATATTCCGGCTCCCGGCATCACTCTGCGGCGTGCGAGGGAGCTCAGCAGAGTGCTCAGGGGAAAGTGCCCCCTCGCTAGCGCTTTTTTTTGCCGCCCCATGGAAAATGCCGCCCAAGGCAAATGCCTTGTTTACCTCGCGGCTAAAACGTCCCTGCTTATATGATTTTACATAACAGAAGCATCTTATGTTTGACATTTTCTTTCAATCATATCATAAATTGATGTTTTACCAGTCCTTACAAGCCTATTCACATTTAGATGTGTTTGTTAAAGGGGCACTATAAGCATTTTAGTTTATTGTAGTGGTAATGGTGAAAATTGTCTTTGGGCATTGCCCTCCATTCTGTGTTGAAGCTTTTTCCGAGGGGCTCTCTTGGAACCTAAAGCTTGGCCCTTTCGCTGTGGCTCAGCTAATGTGAAAATAGACAACCACATTAGCCTATCCAGCTCTGGACAGCAATGAGAGGCAACAACGGTAAGTTTTCTTCTGCATTAGCTGAGGTGCAGCAGAGAGGCTAAGCTTTGGGCTTCGACAAAGACAGAGTTTGTGAAACTGATCGAACACGGTTTGATAGAAACCACGAGGACAACGCCCAAAGAGTGTTTGCCCTGTAACAAATACAATAAACTGAAGTGGTAATGGTGCTTAGAGTGGCCCTTTAATATTGATGCATCCCATCAAATAATATAACTAAAGAGCTGAAACCTCAAAGCTGTCAAATTGACCACCATGACTTCAAATTTCACATAAAGCTTCATTTGTTTTCTTCTTCACATAAAGTAGAACATATATAATTTGTTCAGTGTCACCCAACATGTTGCCATTAAAAAAGGAATTAAATAGCATTTTGTGCTTATAACCTTTTTTTTTTGTTAGGGTCAAGAGTTTCAACATAGTATGATTGAGGAGTTACTCCAGAAACATCCAGGGAAGATCCGTTTTTCCAAGCCCGTTATTCCTGTAAGCAATCAACACAAGAAGGAAGAGTTGTGAAAACATGGAATTTGACAAAGTAACCAACAGGTTTATATAACCTGGACCTAACAAGCAAAACACAAATGCCAGGCCATAATAATAGAGTAGGGAAAATTCTACATGTCTAGTTTGCCCAATTTGACCAAAATAATATTATTAGCTCTCATTCCCTGCTTTTGTTAGCAAACCTTTCAACATTAGGAACAATTGAGATTATACAGTCTTTAGTTAATAAAGTTATTCCTGTGTTTGTAGCATTTTTCTGCCACATGTATTGTATTCTGTATTCATTTTTTTTTTAACCATCTCTACTGAAAGATACATTTCATAAATGGTTTAATAAATGGGCGAAATGGCACGGTTCTTAGAATTACTAACTGTATTTGACTCTCATACAAAATGTAGATCTTTAAAAATAAATACAAATTCCAGCATCTTCTCTCAAATGTATAAATTCTTATGCCACGGTAAATGTATTGTAAATGAAGGTGAAAAATATATTACCAATTTGCTGTAGCCCTCTCAAGCCGCAAAAATCCCCAAACAGCAAAATAAGATAGCTACAAAGTTTGATAACCACTCAAGTGCCCGGTCATCCATGTGTCAATGTGTTTAAGACCAGTTTGACAACTTACCTGGGTCCTACTGCTCACCTGAGCTAAGCTGTAAGTCATTCTGTCAACAATTTTTTTAGAATTTTGAAGGAGACCTTTTTGTATTTCTATATGGCTAATTTCCAGAAAGCATTACGTTACGGTTAGTTAAAGGTGTTGTATTGCATAATTAAGATTTAGGTGATGTTTAAACTCATTAATGCATTGTTTTCATTGTGTAAGCCTTTTTCTCATATAATTTTTGAATGTATATTAAAAGACCACTATAGTGCCAGGAAAACAAACTTGTTTTCCTGGCACTATAGTGCCCTGAGGGTGCCCCCACCCCCAGGGTCCCACTCCCGTGGCGCTGAAGGTGGAGGAAGGGGATAATCCCTTACCTTTTTTCCAGTGCCGGGCTCCCTCGGCGCTGGGACTCTCCTCCCTCTTCTGACGTGCCCAGTGATCCAAGTAGAGACAGGACCTAAAAATCTGGACTATCAAATCTAAATCATGATGATTGGGAGGCATGCAATCCAGGGCAGTCCAATAAAAGCCTAGGCAAACATTACAAATGAGGAGAAAAATAAACAGTTTTATGTCTCCTCATCTCTGTGTTCTTTCTTTATGCTGTAAGGTGGCAGAGCATAACAATGATTGACAGCTAAGATGGAAGAACCTGATAGTAGGTAGGATAAAGAGGTGTGACTTTAATTTGATTTAATTCAATCTTTCCACATAAATACTAAGAGATAAAAAAAAAAAAAGCATAAAAAACAGTCCTCTAGTCATGCTGTGGCTGCCAGTCTTACAGGTATGTTTTGGGCAAATGTAAACATTACCTTATTTTCAGAAACAACATTGATTTAACCTTTGATTTGACTTTAAGGCCCAAACTTCTGGAATAAAAGGGAATCATGACGTCACACATCATGTGTCCTTAAAGGGTTAAAGGGACACTATAGTCGCCAGAACTACTATAGCTTACGGTTACTATTTTAATGCAAACACTGCATGTTCAGAGAAAAGGAAGTGTTTACATTGCCCCCAGGGACACCTTCAAGTGGCCACTCCTCAGATGGCCACTGGAGGTGCTTCCTGGCTCATTGCTGCACAGTAGGCTACATGCTCTGCATGGGGACGCTGAATTTTCCTCATAGAAATGCACTGATTCAATGCATCTCTATGAGGAGGTGCTGATTGGCCATAACAGTGTTTGGCCCTGCCCCCTTATTTTTAGCAAATCCAATGCTTTCCCCATGGGATGATGTCACCACGGAGGTGGGGTCAGTGCCGGCTGACCCATGCGGCGTTGGAAATAAGGTGGCTTTTAATGGGGCTAATTGGGGGGGGGGGGGAAGCCATCTTAATGGTGGGTTTAGAACTAAAGGGCAGGAATATATGTTTGTGTTCCTGACCCTATAGTGTTCCTTTATGTTTTTTTGATAGAAAAGACAGGGTTAGCACATTCAGGCATAGTGGGTTTGGTGCTTGGAGTGTTCTTTTAATTACTCCTGCAGAAATTGCACATGGTGTAGTGAAGCCAATAATACTATACCTCTTCCTCTCAGCTGTATTCTTCTTCATTGATTAAATGAGTCTTTACAAATATGGTTTTCAGTTTACAGTGAAGTAAATAGAGCTATTCTTTGAATGACAGGTCAGTTTATGGAGATGTGATCTGGATAATAATTTGAAATGATTATGCTCTATTTCCATGCAAGATAAGACATGTAATACATACTGTACATCCAGCAGTAGGTATACAATGCTGTTAACAGAGCAAGCTAATCAAGCTTATTAATTGCACACAGTCTGACTACGCTCACACAACACAACAAGCAGGTTATGCATAATGCTTATATCGTGATCCAAAAGGACCAACATTTCTGATCCTTCTGGATCACAACCTATGCTTCACTTGAAACAGCATCCATTGTTAAAGGCAGCTGCAGAAATGCAGAGTGAAGTCTGAAACAGAAAGCCTGTCTGTGCTAATTTGCATTTTGAATTGGGGATTTCTGGGAAAATTGTGCATTCAGGGTTTCTCTGAATTACTGTGACCAAGTTGGACTAATTGAGATCTGAAGATGATGCAAACCACTCATTTGTGACTTTGCACAAATCTGTGGGGAATTTTCTAGTGTTTGGTCCTACCACAACATATTAATGTGTTCCTTTTTGTCGTTTGAATTTAGCCTTTACATATAAAGTAACATTTCACAAAAGGATTGTATGCCAATAGGACTATAAGGATGTATGTAAGCTGTGGGTCAGAGGATGCAAGGGAGCGCACCGTACCCTCTGATGTAAGGATGTGGTTTGCCTTTGGATGTTAGTGATCAGGAAGGAGCACATGAATGAATTCCCTGGAGCCAGCGGAGAATTCTGGATACATAGTGGTATATACATGGTCACCGGAGAGTGCATTGATCCTGTATTTACCAATATTAAATGTGACAAAAACATGGCACAAATGGTGTAAGAGTGAAAAAATATATTGTATCATAACTAACATACTGCCATGACATTAATGGGATTAATGGGATACAAACACTAGTTCCAGTAGCCTTGTTTTGTGGGGTCTTATTCATTGACTCCATGGGTAAATGGAGTTATTTGGGTGTGGATTAAAAGGAATTTGGTTCAGATGAACTGGCCGACACAAATTTTTGTACGAGTCTAATTTCCACCATTTAAAGTAACACATTCTGTTAAAAATAAACATTTAAAAAAAACAAACAAACAGCTCAGCTTCTTCTGTATGTCAAGGTAAGGCGAGAAACCGGTGAATTATACATGACAGATACAAAACAAACTGTAATCTCGGGGTCCGTATCTGGATTACCCTATTAACTCAGGGAGACACTAGGCAAATGTATTCAACCAAAAAGAAACAATTTTTTTTTTAAATGGCGTCCATTCATACGATACGTACATATAAACTTTCAGTATAAAGTTGTAACAATCTGGTGAACGAGTTAGAACATTTAAGTCAAAATATCAGACGGAGAAGCAGTTTTCCCATCCGTTTTGGGCTTCCTGTTTGTCACTTTGTTTTTATTAAGCCTCCCGACATTACAATCTACCTATCTGTATTGATCAGTGTGCAATAAGTGAAGATATATGCAATTTACCCCAAGCTATTGCCTTTAGGTGCTGGTTTACCGCCTATCATCCAGGTCAATTCTATTTATGGATTACATAAATGTATAGACATAGAACTTCTTTATTCAATGTCAAATTACTTTCCAGGGCTCTCACTTGCACTTTGCTTAGATTAATGTTAGGTGTGGCCGGTTATTGCAGGAATAGACCAAACCATATTTTGCTCAAAGAAAAAAACAAAAAAAACTACAACTGACTTCTGATGAAAGGGTAGATTAAAACATCAAAGATTACAAAACAGTCATTAAAAATCATGATTTTTTTTTTATTAATAAAATAATTCTTAAAATACATTGTTGCAACAGTATGTTTTTTTTTCCCCTTGTGACTGTCTCCATAACTTTAAAAATAGCTGTTACGTGGCTGCTGATGGCTCACGGATCTTAAGCTCTTCAATATGACGTAGAAGTTGATCACAGTATGCTGGTGTTCTGTGTTTATGCCGAACGGCTTCAATTTCTTGGGCTAACAAGGATGGGTAAAGAAAGCTTCCAGTCTTCAAAACGTCTGTAAGAGAAAACAAAAGAAATGCATATTTGGTATTGCTTTGCGTGTGAAGCACAGTCACTTTCCGGGAAAGTGCTTATGGGTGTCTAAAATAATCTTGAGCCAGTAATTAATATAGAACTCTTTTTCAGCAAATTGTTCTTTTGTGCCCTATAAAAACTACAATGCTTAGTTTTATTATTCTACAAAAATGAAATAATGAGATTGAGCCTGACTTCTTAGATCCACATGCATTAATTTGGGGAAAATGTGGCCTACTTGATATGTATTAACTAAAAACCAAATTGGAACAAACGATATACCGAGCTGCAAAATATAGGCAGGAAAAAAAGTAGATACGGAAAAAAAAAATCTCTAATTTTATTCAAATCACAAGTTGACTATTTTAGTCTAAATCCTGAAATTCAGGATTCAGTTCTCTACAACAAGTGTTTAGTGAATAAGTCCCTCCCTATATGCTTGTCATACACAGAGCTAGCTTGGTGGATGAGAAAACATTCAAAAATCACAAGTTAAATTCAGCCTTTAATCTTTTCAGATGTCAATAAAATGAATAGTGTTAAAGGAACACACCACTGAATATTTTTTAATTTAAAGGGGCACTATAGTCACCAGAACAACTACAGCTTATTGAATTTGATCTGTTGAGTAGAATCATTCCCTTCAGGCTTTTTGCTGTAAACACTGTCTTTTCAGAGAAAATGCAGTGTTTAGATTACAGCCTAGTGATAACTTCACTGGCCACTCCTCAGATGGCTGTTAGAGATCCTTCCTGGTAGGGATAGACCGATATTGATTTTTTAGAGCAGATACCGATACCGATAATCTGTTGACTTTCAGGCCGATAGCCGATAACTTGCCGATATTCTGTACATTTACCATTTTGAAAAAATAAACTATTTCTAAAAGGTAAATGCACAAAATATAAAAGCCACATGCACTGGATGCAGTGTGTTTAGACAGTGGAGCTGTGTATATTTGTGTAGTGTATATATAATGAATGCAGGGTGTGTTTGTGTAGTGTGTATAGTTAATGCAGTGACTGTGTAGTGTGTATATAATGAATGCAGAGTGTGTGTTTGTGTAGTGTGTGGTGTATAAAGGAAATGCAGTGTGTGTGTGTGTGTAAAGTGAATGCAGTGTTTAGTGTGTGTATAGCGAACACAGTGTGTGTAGTGTGCGTGTAGTGAATGCAGTGTTTTTGTATAGTGTGTGTATATGAATGAATGTAGTGTGTCTGTGTATATATATGATGCAGTGTTTGTAGTGTGTGTGTGTATATATAATGCAGTGTGTGCATTAAACACACACACTGTATTATATAGACACACACACTGTATTATATAGACACACTCTGCGTTATATAGTGTGTGTGTGTGTGTGTGTGTGTGTGTGTGTGTGTGTGTGTGTGTGTGTTCCTGAAGGGATGTGATTTGTGTAAAATGAGGAGGGGGGAGGCATTTTTTTTATTTCATTTTTTAATATTTATGTTTATTTTAATTTTTAATATTTGTTTATTTTAAATTTTTTATATTTATGTTTATTTTTTTATGCTTATTTTTAATATTTATGTTTTATTATTTTTGTTGTTCCCCCCTCCCTGCTTGTTACCTGGTCAGGGAATATGACAGTCCCTGGTGGTCCAGTGGCATTGGCTGAGCTTGGAGGGGCCACAGGTAGCGTTTACTTACCTCCCCTGCAGCTCCTCCAGCTCCCAGTGTAAATCTCGCGGCCCTTAGTGCCGCGCAGAGCGTTGCCATGGGTCTCGCGAGACTTACACTGGGAGCTGGAGGAGCTGCAGGGGAGGTAAGTAAACGCTACCTGCGGCCCCCCCCCCCCCCCCAGGACCGCTGGGCTTATAATGAGCCTGGCGGTCATAGGAGGTATTATCGGCAATATCGGTATCTATATTGGCCGATACCGATATTGCCGAAAATACCAAATATCGGTAAAACCGATAATCGGTCGATCCCTACTTCCTGGGTCATGGCTGCCTAAAATACATCCAAACGTTTAGTATCTCCTCCCTCTGCATGCAGACACTGAACTTTCCTCATAGAGATTCATTGATTCAATTCATTTCTATGAGGAGATTATGATTTGCCAGGGCAGTGTTTGAATTGTGCTGACTCTGCCCCTGATCTGCCTCCTTTACAGTCTCAGCCAATCCTATAGGGAAGCACTGGGATTGGATCAGGCCACCACTTCTAATGATGTCAAGAGACTGCTTGTTTTTCTGAGTCTAACAGCATGCAGATCTACAGCTTCAGGCTTGAATACAGTAAGATTTTGCTATATTTATGGAGGCATGAGGGGCCCAGGGGGCTAGATGGTGGTGTTAACACTATAGGGTAAGGAATATGACCCTATAGTGATCCTTTAACAATTTAGTACCCCCGGGGGCGGAGCCTGGATGCAGAGCTGATCAGACACGCATCGCCTGAGCTCCACAGACTGGGATCGATAAACGACGGAATACCGGGGCCACTCGCCAAACCGACCAGCCACCGACGACTTCCCAGATAAGGGAACGACGGTGCATCCAGTGATACCAAAATCCAACCGTTTTGGCACTGAAACGCTGCCGTTCAGGCTTGCGGCCTACACAAGCGTGGGCAGAGGAGAGGCGGACGCTCTCTGAGCCCTATTCCCGGCGGAGTGCACATAGCACCAAGCTGTCCCCCCCCCCTCTGGACCGGTGGGGGTCATCCCGGTCCCCCTCCTGACATACCCAGCACCAACAAGCCGGCTACAAGAAGCCATCAAGCGACAAGATTAAGCAGCAACCGTCAAACTTAAAATGGCGGACTCTCCAGACACACAAGCTCCTGACACAGAACAAGTTGCGATGTCACTCCAGAGCACATTTGAGCGCTTGCTCCACAACGTCGACAGGCTCTTTACAAACTTCTGGGCAAAGTTAGAGGCCCGTGCCATGGAGACACCGCGTCAGAACCAAGAGCACAGCAAAGAGAAGCGGGAGGTGAGCGGGCCACCTCAAGGCAAACTCCCACATCAAATGCCTGACACAGCGCAAACGGACCAGACAAGGCCCAAAGCCACCAGGGGCATACTACCCCGATATAGGCAACGGAGGCTGAGAATCCACCGCCGTTGGCGGCAACGCTACAGCAAGAGCACCAGCCGTCCCTTCCATCAAAGAGACTTGGCCTGGACACAGAGGGCCCGAACCTCTAACCCTCACCTGACAGCCGCCCGAGACCGCACTTGCAGAGCCTTCAATGATCAGAGCAGAGGCAACAGTACAGGGGCCCTGATGATGGAGTGTGGCCGGCGGAGGGGCCGACACGGCACCACAGTCCGAGCTCTGGGAACTGCAAGACCACGGCGCACGCAGCGGACAACTCAGCAGCAACCTCAAAGCCTGGGCCCTGAGGTGACAAGACAAGACACAGGGATTAACAACGAAAAAGACTCACCCCCAAAGCCTCCAAGCGGCAGGGTTGACGGCCATTAAAGGACGCTATGACATCTGGTACCAGAACCTTATAGCAAAACTACCATAGTCTTTACCATAACAATCCTGATCTAGCATGTAAATAATTAACCTTACCACTGTGTACCTACAATACAACCCATTTATGCTGTAGCTTCTTAACTGTTAGGCAATAGCTTCTTAAGCGCAGCCTGTATACTCAGTACAGTATAAAACTTTAAGCAACATGTTTATTAATCTTAACTAGTTTTTTTTTTTTTAATCCTATTATTACTGCTACTCGTTGACCTCTATGTCTTGAATTACTGTCATGGCAACATAACTACAATCTGATGTGCAAATAGTTGAGCTAAACGAAATCTTAATCTAACACGTTATACCATTCAGCAACACCTATTAGCTTGTTATCATTACGTAATATGTATAAAAGGAAAAAGTGCATTGTCTGCCTACCCCCCACTGTAACTAATGTCTTGACACCAGCATATGGAATGCCGTTGGGGTACCATATGTATACCTGTAACCACTATACGCACTGCAAAAATAAAGAATTTAAAAAAACAATTTAGTACCCCCAATAAAACAACTTCCGAAAGCAGCAGACCTGTTGTATGCAGCCTTTGCAAGCCGCCCCTCTTTCATTGAGAAGCTTCTGTGTGTGCACACTGGCACGCAATTGCAGCTATCCTATGTAATACAGTTCATAGAGAAGGGAGGAAGGGCAAGCGCACCGCTAGCCCAGCTTGCCTGCCACTTCTATTAGCGCTGTGAAACATACCTGGCTTTCTGAATACAGCTGGAGACGCGTTTCGGTGACTCCAGACACAAACACTTCAGCAAGCAAGCGAGTTGAAGTGCTTTATGTATCTGAAGTGTACCTTTAATTTGGGGGAAATAACATCTAGACCCCTTGATATACCTGTCAAATACTTAAATGTACTTTTCCATATTTTAATATGTGTCTCATGGCAACATGGGAACGGAATTACTGGTGCAAAAGTACATCGTGATATGTTGACAGAGTTAATGTCTTAACAGACACTTTCTTTTTTAGATTAGACCCATGAAATTCGGGAGCAGCTGGGGCTTTGCTGATGTCCAACACAAACACATTATATGGCACAGTAAGAATAAACAAAGAAAATGTTTCACTGGATGAGCAGCAGGCTCCACTACAAGTTAATAGAACAGAGAGATCAATGCCACGTTAAATGGGAGATACACCTTTAAAATGTCCAAGATACACAAAGTTCTTTGGGATCCAGATTTAAACACCAGTTATACATTATTTCTCTTTATGTAAATGCTCAGATGAAATCCCTAAATCAGTGCTTTGTTATATACAATATACAAGACAGATCTCCCTTCTCTACTACAACAGGTGTGCCAAAAGAGAAATCCCCAGATGTAGAACTATAACTCCCATGATGCTTTGCAATCCTTAAGAATGACATGGCATCGTGGAAGTTGCAGTTTTAAAACATCTGGGAATCGACCTTTTGGGCACCCCTGTACTTCAAGGTATGGATAAAAGAATTGCTTTTATTAGCAACCAAGTATTCAGCAGCAGGGTAGCTGAATAAGAAAGGAATAGAAACTTGTATTCCTGAGCCTGTAATGTTCAAAAATAGTGTTTGACTTTGAAACATTATAATACTGAACTTGATTTAACCCCTTAAGGACACAGTTTTAGAAATAAAAGGGAGTCATGACGGAATATTTCCATCATGTGTCCTTAAGGGGTTAAACAGTGCCAGTCCACATTAATAATCTTAAAACAGGTAACCTATCTCTAAACTGCTTTCTTTGCATACACAAAGGAGTAGAACTGCAGCAGAAGTCAAGGATGAAACGATACAGGTTGTATCATTCACAAGAGTTAAACAGGCTTGGTTTGACACATTACTTAATAATAATTAAAAAACTGATGTCAGAAGCACTTACAAGACCTGTCATTGCAAGGCAATCAGACAGACTAAACTTCCAATGCAAGATACCAAAGGAACTGCAGGATTGTATTTGGAAAGGTGAATTCCCTAAAAATAAAATAGTCAAACTAAGGCATCATTCATTCATGTTTGTAAGACCATATGTTTTGATCACAGTTTTTCTACATTATGAACTCCAAGACATGTAATATGCTGTCACCTAGTGTTGACAAGTGGTAATTTCACCAAATGGTGAATAAACGTTTGTCAATAGCTGTTTATAGTATCCACTTAATGTTGAACTGCCAAATATAGGCCAAAATAACAGAATATAACTTCTATTTCTGTGACACCTCTTTCCCCAAGATCTGCACATTATCCAATTTACAATGTAAAAATGTTGTCTTCAATGAATAATACACCATGATAGATTTAAAGTATTAGACACGGATTTTAGGTTCTTTTAGGCCCCCCTTTAAAATAAATAAATAAAAAAGCCTACAGAGTTTAAGGAATCAAAGTAATCATACCTGGATAGTATAGACAGATAGTTCAGAATGCTCTGTACAGATTTTAATAAATACATAGAACAAGCAAATGCTCAGACTATTGATATTAAAAGGACATTCATGGATTAAGAGATTAACAGAGAGTAAAAATCTAAGGTCCAGGAGAGAATAACTAGATGCAATAAAGTAGATATCAACATTCAACCAACTAGCCAGCCAGCGTTTCTTCATGGCATTTAGCAGACTAAACCTAAATACAGAGGTCATGTTCAGCTTCCCAGAAAGTACATTAGACGAGCTTGTTTAGCTTTTACATCAAAGAAGATACAACACTAAAGATAATTGAAGTGACAATTGTACTAATAGATATTTAATTTTGTGAAGAGGATGTTCTTTACACAATTCTCACAGGCAGAGTAAGCACCTGCCTACAGCCATTTGTATTTAGCACTTATAATGTGCGTTTTTGGAGCTCCATAGGGCTGTTGGAGGGATATAAGCACAGGGGGTGTGTGTGTGTTTTTTTCTAATCTGGCCACTAGTAACCTCTCACACAGGAATTGCTTTGTACAAGGAGCAAGGTGAGCACTGCAGCTCTAATATCAATCACAGGAGGCTGAGTGGACTGCAGAAGACATGCTATATGCCTCCCAGGGTGTCCTTGGTAGTTTTGTGGTTCAGATCATTCAGTATCTGAGCTGAGCTGTGAGCATATCTTTGATAAGGAGGTATTTTTCTGCAGTGAGTGAGTGTGGCTAAATACGCAGGTTTATAGCACAGAATTCTGCAAAACAATTATCTTATGGAAAACCTATAAAGATTTTAGCATGTAAATAATACAGCATATTAATGAGGTCAAAACCTATCAAATGCATTAAAGCTGTAATGGTGCCCAGGGTGTCTCTTTAATTCTAGGGTTAACTACTCAAAAAACCAATGTACCCCAATGCTACATTTAAACCTATTCTAACCCTAAACTCAATAATCCTAACCTCCCCTGTACCCAAATACGAAATGTAAACCCAATCTAACCCTAAACTCAATAATCCTAACCTCCTCTGTACCCAAATACGAAATGTAAACCCACTAACCCTACACACAATAATCCTTACCTCCCCTGTACCCAAATATGACATGTAAACCCACTCTAACCCTAAACACAATAATCCTAACCTCCCCTGTACCCAAATACGAAATGTAAACCCAATCTAACCCTAAACACAATAATCCTAACCTCCCCTGTACCCAAATACGAAATGTAAACCCAATCTAACCCTAAACACAATAATCCTAACCTCCCCTGTACCCAAATATGAAATGTAAACCCAATCTAACCCTAAACACAATAATCCTAACCTCCCCTGTACCCAAATATGAAATATAAACCCACTCTAACCCTAAACACAATAATCCTAACCTCCTCTGTACCCAAATACGAAATGTAAACCCACTAACCCTACACACAATAATCCTAACCTCCCCTGTACCCAAATATGACATGTAAACCCACTCTAACCCTAAACACAATAATCCTAACCTCCCCTGTACCCAAATACGAAATGTAAACCCAATCTAACCCTAAACACAATAATCCTAACCTCCCCTGTACCCAAATATGAAATGTAAACCCAATCTAACCCTAAACACAATAATCCTCACCTCTCCTGTACCCAAATATGAAATATAAACCCACTCTAACCCTAAACACAATAATCCTAACCTCCCCTGTACCTAAATACGAAATGTAAACCCAATCTAACCCTAAACACAATAATCCTTACCTCCCCTGTACCCAAATACGAAATGTAAACCCACTCTAACCCTAAACACAATAATCCTAACCTCCCCTGTACCCAAATATGAAATATAAACCCACTCTAACCCTAAACACAATAATCCTAACCTCCCCTGTACCCAAATACGAAATGTAAACCCACTCTAACCCTAAACACAATAATCCTTACCTCCCCTGTACCCAAATACGAAATGTAAACCCACTCTAACCCTAAACTCAATAATCCTAACCTCCCCTGTACCCAAATATGAAATGTAAACCCACTCTAACCCTAAACACAATAATCCTAACCTCTCCTGTACCCAAACACGAAATATAAACCCACTCTAACCCTAAACACAATAATCCTAACCTCCCCTGTACCCAAATATGAAATATAAACCCACTCTAACCCTAAACACAATAATCCTAACTTCCCCTGTACCCAAATATGAAATGTAAATCCACTCTAACCCTAAACACAATAATCCTAACCTCCCCTATTATTATTATTAGGGTACCGACCCTATTTTTTTAAGGAAACATATAATTATGTTGTGAGAATTCTGCTTGTATTATGTATGGATTTTGCAGCTGCTTTGTGAGATTTTATGTGTGTATATGATATTGTGTGTATATGTGTGCTGTATAAGATATTGTGTATGGAATGTCTGGAGTTCTGCAAGTGTATATGGTGGTTTGGGGTGTGTAGATGTGTGTATTTGAGTGGAGGAATGCAGGCACTGTATGTGTTTTGGAATGTTCTGCTGTATTAAGGATGATTGCGCAGGTTTTCTGAGGTGTGTGTGTGTGTGTTGCGGTCTGTGGTGTTATGTACATGTATGTGGACTGGAAGCTTTGCATACCGTAGGTTGCCAACCCCTTTTCTACATCTAAAATTTGGAGGGGCTAATAAAAAGTGGCTATTGACTTTGAGCTTTTACTCTTTTCACCAATAGGTTTTCCGATGTATCTTTTCCTTCTCTTGCGGTATTTTTTCATACTTTCCATTTCTCAACCTCTTTTCTTTCTTCACAAGAGTGGTTCTCTACATTTTACTAGCCCCATTTCTCAGCCTCTAGTTCCCCCGAATTTATCTTTGTCTCTTTTTTCTCTATTTATCACCAGTCTTTCTTATTTCCACTCTCTTTATCTTACAGTTATTCCTTAAAGTGAGTCTGGAATTCCAAGTGAATTTAAAATTTAAGGCAGAAATAGGCGACATGGAATATCTTGATCTTCAATTAGAAAATGAAATGTATCAATGATAACTGCCTCCCCAACAGATGAGCACAGTTTGAATGCCCGAAACCGTGCGATTATAGGGCCATTCATTATTTAACCAACAAGCACTATTCTAGCCATAAGTGGCAAGGCTGAGCAATATAATGCTGCCCAGTAGCAGATTTCATAATCTTACAAACTGTGAGCTGCATTATGCTGTTAAGCCTCACCACTTACAGCTTGCATATGCCCTGATGCGTTAACATAACAGCAGCATTTGGGATAGCGTTAAAGCGACACTATAATTACCAAAACAACTTAAGCATAAAGCGGCGCCATTTAAAATGCCGAACCTACCTTTCCCCAATCGATTCCTCTTCTCTCCCTCTCTCAGGATCTGTTCTTCATTTCTTCCTGTCTGCACTAGTTTTCTTTAAAAATTAGGACAAAGTAGGGACTATTTCTGGAGGTTTCCTACGCCATGACCAGCGGAGTAGCAAAGTGTGCTTCGTTTTCAGTGGTCACAGCAATTTTCCCATGATCCTTAGCTTTCCTCCCTGTTCCCACGATGCCTCCTGTCAGTATTGCCGAACGTCCTGTCACTTAGACAGGACGCCGGCAAAACTGCAAAACTGCCAGTGGCTGCTCACTGTAAAAAAAATAAAAACCTATTGCCCCCAACCCTGCGCGGTGGGAGGACCTACTGTCCTCCCCCTGGCCCCCACCCCTGGACGGTGGGTGGGGGCCATAAATTACAATGGGGGGGCAACCTACTGTACTGGCCCGGGGTGGGGGCCATAAAGATAATATGGGGGGGTGAACGTTCTACTGTCCTCCCCCACCCCCTCGGCCCCCCCTTGAGCGGTGGGTGAGGGCCATAAAGATAATGAGGGGGGGGGGAGGGACCTACTGTCCTTCTCCACCCCTGGAAAGTAGGTCCCCCCCCCTTATCTTTACGGCCCCCACCCGCCACCAAGGGGTGGGGCCAGTGGGGGGAAAACAGTAGGCCGCCCCTCCTCATTATGGCCCCCACCCACCGCTCAAGAGTGGGGCCAGAAGGACAGTAGGCCCCCCCCATTGTAATTTATTTCACCCACCCACCGCGCAGGGGTGGAGGGAGGACAGTAGGCCCCCCCCATTGTAATTTATGGGTCCCCACCCACCGCGCAGGTCCTAAGTGACAGGACGTTCGGCAATACTGACAGGAGGCATCGTGGGAACAGGGAGGAAAGCTAAGGATCATGGGAAAATTGCTGTGACCACCGGAAACGAAGCACACTTTGCTCCTCCACTGGTCACCGCGTAGGAAACCTCCAGAAGAGAAATAGTCCCTACTTTTCCTTAAGTTTTAAAGAAAACTAGAGCAGACAGGAAGAAAAGAAGAACAGATCCTGAGAGAGGGAGAGAAGAGGAATCAATTGGGGAAAGGTAAGTTCGGCATGACAATGCCGCTTTAATCAAACAGTTTTGGTCTATCGACATTGCCTCTGTAAGTCTCACTGCTCAATTCTCTGCCATTTAGGAGTTAAATCACTTTTTTTATGCAGCGTTATGCGCACCACCCCTTACACAGCCTTCCTAAATACTTCCTGTAACGAGTTATCTAAAGTTTACACTTCCTTTACTGCAAATTCTGAATTTCCTATTCCCTGCTCTGCTAGTAGATTGCTAGACCATACAGGAGCCTATTGTGTGTAATTAAAAATCATATTACACAGCAGGAGATGAAAACTTTTAAATTGGATCTGATTAAAAAAGGAAACCATTTTCTTACATGATGTGTCAGTCACAGCCAGAGACATGTGGCTTAGGCTGCATAAACAAACAAAAGTGAAAAATCCCATTGTTTTGTAGATACAAATGACAGTACATAGAACTTGGTTCTGTTGGTGGAGGGAAGCTGATTTTACTGGTGCTTCTGCTTGAAAATTTACAAATTAATATAACCAATAGCATCTCCAAGGAAGAAAAAACGGACAGCTATTATTTAAAAATGTATTATCTGAGCAAATGCATTATTGATGCCAAGGCTGGGGCGCATAAAGAAAATACAATGTTCATATGATGATAGTTAGACATACTAACAGAACTACAGGTCAAATATTACAATCTGACAGATAAATATATCCTACCTAATACTGTTGACTGGATGCAGTTATCCGGATCATCAAGGTGAACTAAAAGACCTCTGTATAGAAATTCTAGATGACCCTTAAATGTTGAAATGTCGTAGTCATTGTTGATGCATTTAAACCAGAGAGATAAGGTTTTAGCAGCAGTTACTCTGACTTCATCAGAGGCATCGTCAAGTCGTTTTAAAAGCTCTGGAAAACAAACGACAGACACATTAATACATAAAAAGCAGTTCTATTAAGATTTATTTTATTTTATTTATAAAATATTTTACCAGGATGGATACATTGAGATTTCTCTCGTTTTCAAGTATGTCCTGGGTCCACAAAACATTGCATTGATACATTAGGGTACAATAAAATACAAAAACAATAGTAATACATAATATATACAAAATTTAACATAGAACAGGTAAGAAATATATAATCAACCATGACAGGTGCATTCTGTTTTGAGGTATGAAGAGAGGGATCTCTTAAAGGACTTTAGGCTTGGGGAAGATTTGAAAGTGTGCGGAGGTCATTCCATAATTGCTGTGCTCTGTAGGAAAAGGAGGATCGGAGCACTTTCTTTTTGTATTGAGGTAGACTAAATAAAGTGCTGGTACTGGATCGGAGGTTACAGGAGGTGGGAACAGGAGAGGAGAGCATTCTGCTCATGTAGGGTGGGAGCTTCCCCGAAAAGCTATTAACACAAGGCTGGAAAGATGAAGGGTGCGTCTGGCTTCCAGCGACAGCCAGTTGAGCAAAAGTAAGCTCCATCGATTGCCTCCTCAACCATAGTTGACTCCAGAAATTGACTGTACCGATGTGTAGAGCTACAGCTGACCCGAATAATGTACGCAAATACCCATCAATTCCTAGAGTGCAGCAGCACCATTAAAATCATGGTATGTTTTTGCAAAACCTTGGGTAGGAGCATGTAGCTATAGAGAAAGATCTTTCAATTTACACTTATGGCAGTAAGAGATATACAGGTCAAACAGGCTAAAAGGAAGTGTCTTCTTTCAACAGATGCATCTTAATGTGGACAAATAAATCATACAAAGTCAGTCATGTTACCCCAACAAAGTATTTAAACTGATGAAGGGTTAAATTTTTCATGCGACTGATTGTTGTTTTTTTTTCAAAAACAAAAACACACAAAAGCACACAACCAGACTGCAATAAAATGTCATGCACATCATTATATAAAATGATTCACCTCTGCCCTAAAGATGTTAAATATACGTGGCATTGTATTTCCTGCACAAGAGATGCCATGCTTCAAATTGAAAAATTCTGACTGTGCAGGGGTATCCAAAGAGCCCCTGTACAAACATCTCTTGCAGTTGAAGCAGAGAGAGACGTTTATTGCCTGATCAGAGATGGTAACAGAGACACGATATATGTATAAGCAACAACATGCCCCATCTTAGATTACGCAGCCTGAAAAATAAAACCACACACTGTACATTTCTTTTATAATCTGCAGTATAGATGCAGATGTATTAGATGCCCTATCGAAATATTTTCTTTCTCGAATGCCACAATTCTGAAGCGGATTGCAGAGCACAATATAATTTACCGGGGTATATTTTGTTTAGTCTATCTGGATCCAGCCGTTGAACACAGACTTTGAGAAGAGTATGGATAATGCGACAGGACATCAGTCGACTAGTCTTGGAGTCTTCCTCCAGTGTGGTAATCACCTGAGGCACCAAAACATCTTCTACTTGAAAAATCTGTAGAAAAATGGAGAGGACATTAAAACCATAGAGTCACTGCACTGTGTGAATGATTACATTAAGTTATATTGCAGGGTATCTTGCTGAAACTATCTAGTACTTCCAATAAGATAGAATTTATCCATAAGAGACATGGAACCCATGTAAGCTGACGTTACTCAATTGAAATTGACTCGCCACTGCACACATTAATATTATTTATAAAGCACCAACAGATTCTGCAGCGCTGTACAAGATCTGCAATATATATATATTTTTTGTGTAAGAGGCAAATAGCAGTATATGGAGTAAGGTTCCAGCATAAGCGTAGGATAGTATAAAGGAAGCAAGTCCGTTGTGGTGTGCCGAGACCAACGATACGGTAGGCCTGTAAATAAAGAGGACCCACCAAGGAGTAAGAAAGTAAAGTAAATGGAAAGAAAAGAGAAAGTGTTGAAATGCGGAGTGGGTGGGAGGGCCATTCTGATGCTGACCTCAAGCGATATGGAGTCAGGTAAGGGGTGTCCCTTATATAGGGTAGTGAATTAATTTAAGCCCCTCCCACAAATACAGGCCAAACGGCCTTAATACTTGTGTAAGGGGCAAATAGCCGTATATGGAGCAAGGTTCCAGCATAAGCGTAGGATAGTATAAAGGGAGCAAGTCGGTTGTGGTGTGCCGAGACCGACGATACGGTAGGTATATATTTTGTTCTCTGTTAAACTGCAAAGGAGGAGATTGGAAAGCAGAATCTGACCAGGAAAGATCCTAACTAAATGGAAAACCCTTGCCGGACATATTTATGGGATTATTAGGAACAACAACTAATTAAAATGTCTGTAGAACAGTAACATGTTTTATTTAAAGAAATCTATTCTATCAAACAATGAGCTATACTTCATACTGACTGGGATAATAGAGTGACTCAGGCCAATTAGAATAGGCTGGCCACCCAGCGCTTTAGAAGCTATTTAGCCCTTGAGGAAGAAAAGAGGTTTTGTTATAATTGGTAACAACTCAAGACATGTGAAAGGCAGTGAGCTTTTCAACAAGGAATACCACATAAAAGGTCCTCAACTATATAAAAAATAAATAAAATGTTAAGATCAAATGTACAATTCCTACACAATACCATATCGTATAAACAATAACAAACCACAAACCAAGCCAGTGCTAAAGGGAAATATGAATGGCATAATCCTAAATGCAAACTAAAGCAAAACAAAACTATTAAGAAACACACCAAATTAAAATAGCAACAACGAAGAAACAACGTTCAAATAAAAATATTCGTTTTCATATTTTAAGCTGTTCAAAGCATTGCTTCCCTGAGTGTCTCTTTTGCATGAAGAAGGATGTGCATGTGAAAGAGACAGAACGAATAAAGCAAGATACAAAACAGAGAAAAAAATAAATTACTATTTATTCCTAGTCGAAGAACAAACAACATACATTCAAAAGGCACAGTCACAACGTGTGTGTTACAGTAAATGATGGAGAAATAAGACAAGGGAAACCCAATTGATGTATTTCTGTACCTCTTGTTCCGACAGGACCTCACTCTGTAGGAGAACCCACAAACAGGACACAACAATGGTTCGAATGGCTCCCGCTGTCCTGCCAGCATTCCATTTGAGATTTGGGACCAATATATCCTTTATGATCGCTTCAGAATGCTTATGGAACTCTCTGTAATGTAAAGGAAAAGGAAAAAAAGTTACAAAATATGATGGTGACATCTAGACTAAAACGATCAGGGATATTCGCTCAAGTAAAAATTCCAGGTCAATTCAAAGTGAATGTGAAATTTAAAGTCAAAATAGCCAAACTGGAAAAATTCTCTAAGTCACCTATGTTTTCAGTGTGGCTACTCTGGCCTTAAATTTGAAATTCTCTTTAAATACACTTTAGCGAATAACCCTTTATAGCTAGAAAACAAAATCATTGATACAAAAGACATCAGTTACTGTAAATCTGCAGTACTTACACAGCAGCTCGGGACCAGGATAAGTTTTATGTAAAAAGAGACACCCTCCCTGTTAAAATAAGTGTGCATGTACCCAGAACACGTATTCCTATTTATTTAATTCAGATTAGTAGTTTGCATCACATTTAATTTATACAAACGCTGATAAAACTTCAAAAAACTAAAACTAAAAAAATAAAAAGAGAGAAAAAGATAGAGAAATAAGTAACTACCTAAATGAATAAATATTACACTCTGCCAAAATAGCATTACAAAATATGCTATTATTCTTTGCCAGTAGATGGCACTTTGAAACCAAGAATCTCTTTTCACAGTACTGAGAAATTCATTTAAGTAGCAAGGAAAAAAACACAGAGTAAAGTAAAATTTGATTCCGAATGCCAATAGTTAACCAGTTTGTGTTTTGGTGCAGACTTTGGAGAATCAATGGATCAGTTAATTATAGCAAAAGCTCCCTTTAAACGGTTTTAGATATTTGGAGATAATTTTTATTTAGAAAACTTTTTCCATGTTCAACGTCCAGGGATGAAAAGGTTTCAAAGGATATCTGTCATAATTGTCTATAAACTGTAATATACCAAAGTATGTAAACAAATATACGGACAGTTGGTAAATGTGACTGTCTTATATCCAAGTATTATTCCTTCACTGAATTAGCAAAATTTTTTTTTTTTTATACCCATCAACAGCGTCCCTAGGCTAGAAGGACATGAGATATATGCTCACCGGGTCTCCTGAAAATAATTTGCTTATATAGAAGTTAAATCTATTTTAAAGCATTTTTTTTTTTTTTTTACAGCCTTGCCACTAATGTTTAATAATTTAAATGGACATCTGTGTTTTCCATTGGCAAGTTGAAAGCTCAATGAGCAGGCAAGTTAACAGAATAAATCTGGCATATCTCCTCTAGCCCATCTGCAGCAGGCCATGCACCCATCTTTTTCCTTCACCTGCCCTTGCATGTCTATCCTACTATAACTGGAATGAATACGTCACCAAATTTCTTTTTTTTTTTTTTTAGTTAAAGGGACAGTATAGTCGCCAAACAGTTTTGGTGCATAGATCATGAATTCTCAGTGCTCAATTCTAAATCATTTTTGTTTCTGTTTATGCAGCCCTAGCCACACCTCCCCTGGCTGTGACTGACACAGCCTGCATGAGAAAACAGCCTGCATTTTCCAATCAGCAGTTAACCTAATTTATCATTTTTATCTCCAGATCTGTACATTGAACTTTAATCACGCAAAGGTCTAGCAAGTTATTAACAGTACATGAGATAAGAAATTCTAAATTAAACAAACTGTGCAACAAGTGAAAAAAACATTAGATCTCTGTTTACAGGAAGTGTTTTGGAAGGCTGCTCAAGTCACATGCAGGGAGGTAATACTAAGGTGCATAAACAAAGCGTTTTAACATCTAAATAGCAGAGAACTACAGTGAAACTGCATGATCTATATACCATAACTGCTTCATTAAGCTAAAGTTATTTTGGTGACCATAGTGTCCCTTTAAGCATAAAACATAATATTAAACTCTAAGCCTAAGCCATTTTCCCATCTCTATATATGTCCCTTGTGATATCACTTTCCATTAATCTTAAGTGAAAATTAAACATAAATCCTCGAACATGACTTGTAATATAAAACATAGAAAGACATAAGAGCTCCCATCAAAACAAACTTAGTACTTAGTGAGTAATCTTTTACATTTAGTATACGAACCAGCATCTTAGCTGTCTTAGTCCAACAGGGTTACTCAGTAAAGTGAGAATTCAAAGTGAATTTCACCTCGAAGGTGAAATTAGCTGAAATGAAAATATTCTCTACGTCGGGTGTGCTTTTAATTCGAAATTCACTTTGAATTTTCACTTTTGTAAATAACTCAGTATATTTTGAGATATGCGTTACTTAAATATACTCTCTAGCTCAATACCGGTTAGGCTTCCAGAAGTCTATAACGGCCAGGTAGAACAAAACTGTAAAACACAACACAGGACATAATCATCTGCTCTATAAACTTGGCAAGAGGAATACCCCCTCCCCGGCCCCCCCAACAAATTCCAGGGGGGATCTGCTATGCAGAGGTAGAAATTACGAAATCTTAAATCATTATAAGGATGCGGAGAGGACTAACAGAGAGAGGCTTTGATTGTACAAAGGAGTAATTGCTCAATCTGGCTTTCGTTCAGGAAGAGTTCATCTCTTGCTGACCTTAACCGATTTCAAAACATCGCTAATTCTTCTCTAGTGCTCCCCACGTCTGCCTCCATCAATCAGAACATTTACTTAATGAGCAAACTTTGAATCTTTCCCGTAGGAAAATAAGTTATATATTATAGGTTTCTCTGGGCCTAGGAAATGAATGACGTTATTTTCTTGCTAAATGTTTTGCTCTATTACATATCTTTAATAAAAAATAGGAATCAGAGATGAAAAGGTAGCTAGATGATTTTCCCCCATTTGCTTTGGTAAATCAAGAGGAAAATACATTTTTATGGAGCGTAGAAAAAAGAAAAAAAAAAAATATGAACCCTATAAGCTATAAAGTTCAAGTGTAATTTGCCATGTGATTTACTAAAAAATAAAAATAAATGCTATTACCTGTTAACCACAGCAAACTTTGAAGAGGTTATGGCATGTTTGAGACAACAGAATGTTTTCATCCAATGCACAAGCGTAGGCAAGTCCACTTACATTGAAAATGTTTCAAAAAAAGTAGAAGACTGGGCATTCCAATCAAAAAAAATCTTACATTTCATATGATACTCTGCTGAAATGAAATGGATTGGAAGGCAAATATTGCTAGAACCTGGGCTTACAAAGTCTATAGTGAAGTTAAAAGTAAAGTAAAACTGGCAGACTTGTGCTAAAAAGTGAACACACCAGAATACAAAGTATCATTGGATTGTACTAGTATATTGTGGCAATATTAATTTGCATTAAATGCCCTACACATGCCTTTTCAGATTGCAGTATGTAATTTCTCAAAACTTTTCTTCTGATTTTAAATATACAAAGAAACAGAGCCACACACACACACTCAAAATAGTCTATTTTCAAATGTGACAGATCAACTTAAATAATGATTGAGAAGGCAAGTCTCCTTAAACACTGTTGCATGCTTTATAGACCCTCCCTTAGTAAATACATTGTTTTTTTAAGGTTCTATTGATCAAGCATTGTTTTTTTCATTTATTTACATTGGTGATTCTTTTCGTTCGTTAGACAGCAGGAGTTACTAGCAACATGTATATTGGAGCAAAGGCTTACATTTTTTGCTTATTTTGTTTCCTTAACCCCTTAAGGACGGAGCCAAATGTACACATTGTGAACAAAACAAAATGTAAACAAAACCTGGCATTTGCGCTACATGTCTGTCCAACCGTAATACACCTCTTTCATAGTAAATGCACCCACCCTTATTATATATCATTTTATTCAGGGGAAACAGGGCTTTCATTTAATATCAAATATTTAGCTATGAAACATAATTTAATATGAAAAAAATGGGAGAAAATACGTTTTTTTTGGATTTTTTTAGTTCTACATGACATTTTAACGGTCAGTGTCATAATACTGTTTGCTTTTACTGCAATAAAATACACATATTTATATTCAGTAAAGTCTCACGTGTAAGACAGTACCCCCTATGTACAGGTTTTATGGCGTTTTGGGAAGTTACAGGGTCAAATATAGCACGTTACATTTGAAATTGAAATTTGACAGATTGGTTACGTTGCCTTTGAGACTGTATAGTAGCCCGGGAATGAAATTTACACCCATAATGGCATACCATTAGCAATAGTAGACAACCCAAGGTATTGCAAATGGGGTTTGTCCAGTCTTTTTTAGTAGCCATTTGGTCACAAAAACTGGCCAAAGTTAGCGTTAGTATTTGTTTGTGTGTGAAAAATGCAAAAAACGCCAATTTTGGCCAGTGTTTGTGACTAAGTGGCTACTAAAAAAGACTGGACATACCCTGTTTGCAATACCTTGGGTTGTCTACTATTGCAAATGGTATGCCATCATAGGGGTAATTTTCATTCTTGGGCTACCATAGGGTCTCAAAGGCAACGTAACCAATCTGGCGAATTTTAATGTGAAAAAAATGAAACGCAAGCCTTATATTTGACGCTGTAACTTTTGAAAACACCATAAAACCTGTACATGAGGGGTACTGTTGTACTCGGGAGACTTCGCTGAACACAAATATTTGTGTTTCAAAACAGTAAAAAGTATCACAGCAATAATATTGTCCGTGTAATGCTGTTTGTGCGTGAAAAATGCAAAAAACTTCACTTTTACTGGCGATATCATCGTTGTAATACATTTTACTGTTTTGAAACACTAATATTTGTGTTCAGCGAAGTCTCCCGAGTAGAACAGTACCCCCCATGTACAGGTTTTATGGTGTCTCAGAAAGTTATAGGGTTAAATATAGTGCTAGCAAATTAAATTCCCTTTACTTTCGGCATGGGTTGTCAGGCAGGTCCCGCTAATTGTAATTAATTAAGATACCTAATTATGTAAAAATATTACATAAATATATATGTAGAATTAATATATGTATATATATACGTATGTGTATATATATGTGTATATATCTATATAATTTTTAAAAATATTTTTATTAATATATAGGTATATATATAGTGATATATACGTATATATTTATGTATATAGATATATATATTATTTCGTTCTACGTGTATTTTGATATATATATATATATATATATATATATATATATATATATATATATATATATATATATATATTTATATATATATTAATTTCACAAAACAGTTAGAGCGAGAATAACACACATCTATATATTTTTAAAATTTTTATTTTTAGCATTATTTACATTTTTATTTTTTTTTTTATATATATAAATATATATATATATATATATAATAATTATATATATATTTAATCAGTATCAGTCTACGTGTAATTTGATATTAATATATATATATATATATATATATATATATATATATATATATATATATATATATATATATATATATATATAATTATATATATATTAATAGTAAAATACACCTAGACGGTGTACGTGTGTGTATGTATATGTGTATATATATACTTAGATCATATATATATAATATATACATATGATCTAAGTATATATTATTATTTTTTTACACCAATAAATGTAATTTTAATTTTATTTTCAGCCAGCAGGGGGACCACCTGTCATTACAGGCAGCCCCCCTGCTGGCAATGCAGGAGGCAGCCTACCCGGCCATGTGATTGTGGGGTCCTCGCTAGGACCCCACTCTCACATGGCCGGGGAGCACCGGAGGAGAAGGATCTGCCGCGGGGGGGCTCCCTGGGAGTCCCCCCCACCGCGATCGCCGGCGTGGGACCGCCGGCGACCGGGTAAGTTAACAAAAACCGGAGGGCGTACAATTACGCCCGGCGGCGTTTAGAGCCGCCTATTAGAGGGCGTAATTGTACGTCCTCCGGTTTTAAGGGGTTAAAAAAGCTTATTGAATTTGTTCTGTTCTTGTTTTTTGCTGTAAACATGGTCTTTTCAGAGAAAATGCAGTGTTTACATTACAGCCTAGTGATAACTTCACTGGCCACTCTTCAGGTGGCTCTTAGAGATCCTTTCTGGGTCATGGTTGCCTAAAATGCATCCAAACATTCAGTGTCTCCTCCCTCTGCATGCAGACACTGAACTTTCCTCATAGAGATTCATTGATTCAATTCATCTCTATGAGGAGATGCTGATTGGCCAGGGCTGTGTTTGAATCATGCTGGCTCTGCCCCTGATCTGCCTCTGTCAGTCTCAGCCAATCCTATGGGGAAGCACTGTGATTGTATGGGCTACCACATGTCAGCAGACTGCTTGTTTTTCTGAGTCTAACAGCATGCAGATTTACAGCTTCAGGCTTAAATACAGTAAGAATTTGCTATATTTATGGAGGCATGAGGGATCCAGGGGGGCTAGATGGTGGTGTTAACATTATAGGGTCAGGAATACATGTTTGTGTTCCTGACCCTATAGTGATCCTTTAACCCCTTAAGGACACATGACATGTCAGGATTCCCTTTTATTCCAGACGTTTGGTCCTTAAGGGGTTAAAAATCAAACATTTTATTGCATTTGGTAAGATATATTGTTTTAAGTTAATGGATACTGAAGAACCTCTTGCCCACTTCATAATTACCCGATGTGTAACAGGTACTTTAAAGTACAACAAATATGATCCAGTAGAACGATCTAATATGTTTTTTCTTTCACTTAGCTCCTCTTAATATAAGCACATTAAGTAATATACAGAATTTCTAAAACAGAGCTAGACCAGATATGTTGGAGAACAGAAAATGTATGGAATGATGAGTGGTACAGTAGATATAGATCACTTTCAGGAAATAGAAAAAAAAGAAAAAAACATGAAGGGAGATTGTGCAAGAGGGAGTATATCTGTTTAGGACTTCATTCATTTCCCTCGTATACAATTGTGCAATGATGTTCTTTTATCTGAAATTGGAGTGATATTGGATCATTTCTGCAGATATGAAACAGTGCACATTGTACCACTTAATACAATTGCTTTTCATGGGTTTTTGAATAACACAATAAGTTAAAACACTTTTTTTTTTTTTTTTTACAAAAGCTGCCTCTCCACCTAGCTAATTATTTTGACTTATCTCGATAAACCCCTCAATTCTATGGTATGTGAACAAGATTCGCATCTCTCTTCTTTTGGCAAAAACTGCGTCAAAAAGAGCAGGGTTTAGACTCAAAGTAAAAATACTCACAAATTTAAAAAAAAAGTTAGCACATCTATGATTTGCAATAATTAATACACTATTGATTAACGCGTTAGTGGATTTGCCATGGTTTGAATTATTAAATGTGCATATTTGGAATCGGATGCCATCATTTATAACCTGCCTTAAATGATGCCATTTTTGTTTTCTCTTTTGCAGGAGATACAGCAGAGGTAAATTGTGCAAAATATCCTCTAGACAGCCAAATCCTTCCATCTCCAAGACAGTTTATAGATGTTTATACATCAAGCAAGGCTTCGATGCTACGTTCAACACTGAACACTGTGTGCTTCCCTAATACTTGCAACACACCCCTACAGATATAAAAAAAATAAAATAAAAAAAAAAAAGCATCTGCTAGCTTATGTATGCACAAGCGAATTAACCCTTTTTAATGTGAATCTCATTTTGTTTTTTTTTAAAAACAAAAGTCAGATTGAATAAATAGGAAGAGGAAATGGTATGCAGTATACTATTGCTTTGTCTCTACTTGGTTCGGTTCCTGAACGACTACCACCCCAGATCCTAATTAGAACTTGGAACTTTGAGTATCCTGTACTAAAACCGCAAAGGAAACAATTAATAGAATGCTTCACTGGGTGGCCAGTGGCGAGTAACCTTTAGGTCTGTCTCATCGCATTTGCCCTGAAATTTGGAGCCCTCCTTATTTTCCTGTAATATTCAAAATTATGAACCATGACGGATTGTGTTTAAGTCTGTAAATCCTACTGAGTGGGTTAAATCTCACTGAGCTAAAGTGCCACTCTTGCGTTTTTTTTTTTTAAAGTTAATTAAGTAACATTTCTGTGTAGGACTGTAGAGAACAATATGCCTTTCAAACATTCCTGTCTGAATCACTGGATGTTGAGTTCCAGTCGTTCTCCAAAATGTGTGAATGAAATGTTCTTTGTTTTCGATTGTGTGGAAAGAGTCACTAGAACCTAAGATTGCAACCTACCCTTGAGAGTTGACAGTTTCATTTGCTTTCACCAGGAGTTTTGACAACATCGTGAAAAGCTTCAAGCGCATTTGTGCTTCTTGTGTTGGTTGCAGGCAAGTCTTCAAAACTGGTACTAGCAGATGGAGATTTTCTCCTATCACCGGGCCTGAAAAAAAATGCACAGATTTAAATACAATCCACATATTGAACACTTTTGCTGGTATGTAAAGGTAGAAAAGGAGTATGCACAATTTATTGTATAATAAGAAATGTGAAAAGCTATAAGAGTACTATAAATAAGATTATTATGTTTTTTTTTTTAAATGAACTATGAATAAAGATTACTCATTTGTGAATGTCATATTTCAACCATTTATGCAGATCAGCCTATTAAATGTTGAAGAATCAATTTGCCTAAGAGGTTGCAGTTTCATACATTAAATCACAATCAGTGCAATTTTTTGATTCAGGTTTTCGAAATGATTTTATTGTAACGAGCAAATCTGGCCATGTGGTTTCTAACCATTTTGAGAAAGAAAGAAAAAAAATGTAAACAGATATACCCGGTTCGGCGGAAAGTAAATATATTTGGAGCTTCACACATAGAGGGCAGCTTATTTAAATAGAACACAAACTGTATTCCATGTTTGACCCAAGATAAGTTTTCACTTAAGTACATAGTATCCACCAAAATTGTAAAAGTGGAGCAAACAGCAGAAAAACAAACAAAACAAAACAAGACAAGACAAGACAAGACAAGATGTACTGGATGCCAAAATAAATCGCTAATATATTAATGTAGATCATAATTAAACAAAAATGATTAAGAAAATTTAAAATACCCAGAAGTATGTAACCATATTTTCTTTAAACCAAGAATGAACAAAGAACAACAAAGTGAGTATTTTGGGACAATGGCATGGCTTGCAACAGATAGTCCTTAATTAGCTAAATAAATCTTCCTCTTGTGTCTTTGGGGAAATAATTATCGCAGAGCATTGCCCTGGGCAAAACGTACCAAACATTCCTGAGGAAAAACAACTACATATTAGGATGTAGTATGGGACAATGAATGTATTATGTGGGCACTGTGGATATTTAACTCCAAAGACACCCTGCAAAATGGGTAAACTGTGATTTATTGCTCTCACCTCCCCCCCAAATAAAATAATCAAAGATTGTAGGTTTTTTGGCTCCTAAGTGAAATGCCTACTTTTCTATCTATGGACATGACATACATGAAATCACAGATGTAGCATATCTTCTATTATATGAGGTATTGTAGTTTAAACTGAAAGTTCATGAACTCCTTAGGACTAAGGGGGTTCCACAAATCTTATTATATCATGGCAGCCCTGGAAAATTATGCCATGAAGGGGTTAATGCTATTAGTGTACTTCTAAAACTGTAATATGAAAATTAAAGGGACACTATAGTCACCAAAACAACTTAAGCTTAATGAAGCAGTTTTGGTGTATAGATCATGCCTATGAAGTTTCAGTGTTCAATTCACTGCCATTTAGAAATTAAATCACTTGTTTCTGTTTATGTAGCTCTAGCCATACCTCACCTGGCAGTGATTTACAAAGCCTGCATTAAAACAAAACGGTTTCAATCTCAATCCGATGTAACTTACTTTAAAAGTTTGTAGCTCCTGCTCTGTAAATTGAACTTTAATTAAATACAGGAGGCTCATGCAGGGTCTATCAAGCTATTAGCAGAGTAAGAGATAATAAATTCAAAATATAAAACAGAATTTGCAACATTAGATAATTCTTTACAGGAAGTGTTCAGGAATGCTGTGTAAGTCACAAGCTGGTATGACTATGGCTGTATAAACACAGTACTTTAATGCCTAAATGGCAGTGAATTGAGAAGTGAGACTGCAAGGGCATGAGCTATACACCAAAACGGCTTCATTAAGCTAAAGTGGTTTGGCGACTATGTCCCTTTAACTGGGATATAAACCAGTTAAGCTCTGTGAGCCAGTCAGTCCCAGTGTCCACCTCCATCAGTGTCTTTCAACTCATCTTACCTGTCACGTTACACACAATATAATATATACATACACATTCAAATATATAAACACACACACACTATAGTGTATATACACACACATTCTATATTACACACCCACACATTCAAATATATAAACACACACTAAATTAAAATAAACAATTAACAATTAAAGTAAAATCCATTTACCCATAAAGAGCTACACTAATTGGCCTGAAAATGAGTGATTCATATGAAAGCCATGTTTCTTTTGCTTTCTACATTATCCCTAGAAAAAAAATAGTGCACTGGGCAGCTGCCTAATCTGCCCTATGAGACATCTAACTCAGTCCCCACCTTCTGCTGGCAAGGGCATTCCTACTGTACCTTATGAGGAGTCCACTCATTCAACCTCATTCTAAGAAAGAATGTATTTCAATGAAATTGAATAGTGAATTAGCTGAGCTTCATTAAATTATTTAACTCGCATTTCAAACAACTATAATGAAATAACTCCATCTAATACTGCACTAGAATTATTTTGAAACACAAAGATATATTTTGGGAAATCAAAGTGTGCAGGGTTACCAAGTGTACCTGACTGCAACAGGCACACTTGACAGAGAGTGTTTTTTAACTCCTTACCAGACTCCATAACAACAACTTCAAAGTGCAGTCTTTCTACTGAATAGCTGGTCCAGTGTTGATGGTTGCTGGATGCCCACTCAAATAATTGTTGTATGTGCCTTCTATACAAATCCTGGACACATGTCAACCCTTGCAACGTTGCCAAAGTTATCAACACCTCTTGAACCTGCAAACAATAGTGTGTAAAAGTGCTTGTTAGATACACAATAAATGCAAATATACAAAAAAGTTTATTCTATGCAAAAGGATATCCACGGTTACAGAAAATCTTCCTAAAATGGGCTGTTTTATATAGACACATAAATGGGCTGTTTTATATAGCCAAATATAAGCTAGGAATTTTCTTATGATGAACAAGTCATTTTTGGCACGGCAGCTGTGGGTGCTGCTGCACTGTCCATTCCCAGTGCTTAGGCTGCAGGAGGATTGTCATGGCCGGTAACTTTTAGACTTGGCTAGTTGATTCTGGCTCACACATTCCTGGTAAACCTGTCAATCCTAGACAAAGAGGGCGACTCTGAATACACAAACAAATAATATTGTTAGAACTTGAAGGAGGAAGCACTCGGATAACACAACTAATATTTGTATTTGGCAGTGAAATTAAACCACTGCTATGGGAGCTTCGTAAGTTTCATAACGATTAAATATACCACAGGCTGAGCATTAGACAGATGGTAAATACTGAGTCCTTTGATGCTTGCGAGTATAGATACTACCCTGAAAACAAACCTTGGACCCCCAAATGTTAATGGCCTACAATGAACAGAATTCTTTGAAAGCAGAAGATGGCTAGAGGATCATGGAAGTTGTAGTTCAGCACAGTTTGAGATGCCTTTGATAACATAATATAGGATAGTCTCGTCATTAGTTCAATAATTATAGAACATGTGACAAGCATTATGAAAGTATTATGTGAGGGATGCTAGATATAGATAAAAGCACGTGGTGACTTCAGCAGACGAACCCAACTATACCTTTTCATTAAGATTTTCAGATGCCAATATAGTAATCAGGATTTTCATGCAATGTAAGCTAACTTCTTCACAGTCTTCTTTGCATATGTAAATTATGGATTGGACACAGCACAACAATTGTTCGAAGTATAGAACCTGTGGAGACATAAATTGACAATATTATAATCATATAGCGATCACATTTCCTAAAAAAAGAAAAGAAAACTTTTTTCAGCTTACTTAAATTTTTAATTTATCTAGAAAAACTATTCAGTAACAAGTGAAATATTAAATTGCTTTAAACCGTCTCGCCACAATCTTTTTGGTACTACAATCTCGCCACAATCTTTTTGGTACCTAGCTATATGCTCTCAAAAACACTTCAACTTCCAGACTAGAGCCATCAGATGAGACCCACAAGGTTGAAATAGCAATCCATGGATGTTTTCTGGTCATTGATCCTTTTGAATCATAGTCCATGCTTTGGTTTTTAAATAAAAACAAAATCTGTATTTACTGAAAACTGTGCCTAAGAAGGACTTCTCAAAAACCAACCTGATAGGGATCGAACGATATTGATATTTTAGAGCCAATACCGATAATCTGTGAACTTTCAGGCAGCTAGCCGATAACTTTTATTCTGTACATTTACCATTCAAAAAACCAAACAAAACCTATCTACACAAATCTACTGTTAACTAAACATATTTATTATTTATTTATTGTTGTATTAATGTAAATGCACAAAATATACATGCCAGTCAGAGTTTATGTTTTCAAGAATGTGTGTGTGTGTAGTGAATGCAGAGAGTATTTGTGTAGTGTGTATATAATGAATGCAGAGTGTGTGTTTGTGTAGTGTGTATAGTGAATGTAGTGTGTATATAGTAGATGCAGAGTGTGTGCTTGTGCAGGTATGTAATGTGTGTAAAATTTAGGGAGTGCTTTTTTATTTGTGTAACTTTAAAAAAAACAAAAAACGTAACATTAAATTTTGTTACATTTTGTTTTAGTCAATCTGGGCCACCGTGTAGGATGTGGTAAGCAACGGCCCGAACCAGCCAAGAATTGAAGAAAGATTAGCCATTGCCAATTGGCCCACTCCCCGTACCAAGACACAAGTGATGGCGCTCTTGGGGACAGCTGGCTAGTATAGACGTTTTGTCCCAGAACATAGTGCAATGGCCAAAACCCTGACGGAATTGACAAAAAAAAAAAAATAGAATTTACCTAGACAGGTCCTGTGGTCCCCAGAGTGAGACAGCTTTCCAGTCCCTGAAAACAGCACTTGTTAATGCACCTGTCTTGGCTAACCCAAATCCTTACAAACGTTTTATCGTTCATACAATCAATCGTCAATGTTTGGAATGGGGGCAGTTCTAAGCCAGGTTGGGGAAGGCGGGGGATAGCATCCAGTGGCTTATTGAGTCAGAAACCTTTACCCCGGGAGGTCAGTTACACGGCCATTGAGAAAGAGTGCTTAACCTTGGTGTTGGCACTGAGAAAATTAACCCTGTACCTCTTTGGCCATGCGTTCACCCTCATTACTGACACTTACTGGGTCACTGGGGAAAATGCCCATCTTCTGAGGTGGAGTCTAGTCCTACAACCGTATGAATTCACCATCCATTATAGACCTGGAAAACAGAACGGGAACGCAGATAGGCTATCACGCCAAACAGAGATGGTCTCCTAAGGAACTATTTGTACTTTCTGGACAGCCCCAAGTGGACCCAAATAAGGTCCAATCGTGTAAGCCAGAGCTGTGAGCAAAGGGGGAGCAGTGTGAAGGAATAGCCCCATCACTTATTTCTGTTGACTTCCTGGATCTATATTCCCTTTTATTTGATTCGTTTTACTTGGTTCGGTTCCTGAACGACTACCACCCCAGATCCTAATTCGAACTTGGAACTTTGAGTATCCTGTACTAAAACCGCAAAGGAAACAATTAATAGAATGCTTCACTGGGTGGCCACCATTTCGTGCAACTGAACGCTCGTGGTCGAGACAATGGATGGTGGCCATCTTGTCTCCCGAACGCAGGCAGCGGGACATGGTCGTCGAGTGCCTGGAACAGTTTTCGGCCAGGCACTCCCGCGAAAAACGGTAAAGATAGACCTGCTGCCTGTTCAAGTTCCCGACCATCTACACGAATAGCGTTCGGAAGTCAGCAAATACCGAACAAGGGGAGCATTCTCACAACCACCCAGCAATCTTTCGTGTACCTTATGTTAGGGCTTAAAAAAAATAATTTTATTTTTATTTTTTTTAAGCGCCTGGTCGCCGTGGCATTTTTGTCCTGGCACCTGGGATTTGCTGGCCCATGCAGTCCCCCGAGGTTGCCCACTAGTGGGGGTGGATGGCCGACAAGCTCATAAAGAGGATGGGAGTGCGTGTGGGTGGTTGGTTGGTGAGTTCAGGAAGAGTGTGGGCTGGAGGCTCCTGGATATTAGAGGCAGATGGGCAGTCCTGTGAGGGAGCTGTAACAACCTCCCGGCTCTGCTACCTCGCGTGCCCTCCAGTGATGCCGGGAGCTGGAATATGACGTCATTCCGGCCCGGCATCACTAAACAGCGCTCTATGGAGCAGTGCGGGGAGATGACTAACAGGGAAAGCTGAACCCAGGTAGGGAGGCTGGGTAGCCACATAAACATGTGTGATTATTGCAGTGACTGAGTGTGTCAGTGAGTGAGTGAGAGTGAGTGAGTGTCAGTAGTGTGGTTAGATGACTGGTCCCCCTCCAATCACATGGGAAAGGAGTTTTTACTCCCCTTTTTCCCCCCATGCGGTACTGATCTAGCCACAGCTGGCCCTGCTTCCATGACTGCGCTCATCAATCTTGATGATTTCAGCCAATCCAATGCTTTCCCATAGGAAAGCATCGGGAGGCTATTACGCATATGTAGCAAAATGCCATGCTGCGCCAATAAGCATCTCCTCATTAGAGATGCATTGATGCAGGGCGTGGAGACGCTATATGTAGGTGCTGCGCACTGTGCAGCACTGACCCAGGATGCACTCCAGAGGCCATCTGAGTGACTGTCACAAGGCAGCAATGTAAATACTGTCTTTTCTCTGAAAAACGCAGGGTTTACATTGAAAAGTGTGCAGGGACAGATTATAGGCACGAGAACAACTACATTAAGCTGTAGTGGTTCTGGTGACTAGAGTCCCTTTAAGAATTGTATTTTTGACATTGAAATTTCAGCACACCTGATCATTAGAGATAGCCTAAAGCAACAAAGAACAGGGATAATCCAGAAAGTGTAGTAAGACAGTCCAAAGGGTGAAGAACATATTCATGTGTTCAGGATAACAGCACAGAACAACTGTGAACTCTATTTCCCTTGTATGAGGATTTTAAAGAGGATGCTGTCATGAATATGTCTCTCTGCTTGCTTTCCCACACCATCCTAAGGCATGCTGGGATAGGTTGTTACCTAGCAATCAAGTCTCTGAGCACAATGAGCCTGGGCCCTGAAATCCCCCCTAGCAGCAAGGCTTTAGTTTAATGCTACCATCCACCAGCAGCTATACACAGAAACTGGGTTGGAGCTTCATGACGACAAAACAACAGCGACCGCCTGGAATTCAGTGAAAGACTCAATTCTGCAGTGCGAGGACCTGTCTGCCAGACCACTACGAGCAACTGGAAGAGTCTGCAGCACATGGCTCTGTTTAGTGGCACCATAACAACATCATTTGGCTCTTTTTGTTACGAGACATGTCACCGTTCCAAGTAGTTTGTGCTTGTGTAGTCAGGTAGAAGAGATTTATTCTAAGTACTCTGATTACATAGGTTTAAATGATATATAGTTATCGGTGTCTTGTAGAAACACAGTTGTTCATTTTATCCCAATGCAGCTGTTGGCTCCCCATGGCTCATGTGACTTTAATAAGCATGGTTAGACAATACACAGTGGCTTAAGAAGAAAAGCTTAAATCCTTTAGGACACAGACTTGAGCAAATTCAGTGATATCATGACAGTCCTAGCATTTCATCTGTCATAAACGGGTTAAAGAAGGGACATGAAAACAAGGCAAATCTTTTGTCAGTGCTAAAATTCTTTCGATGAAATATGGAGAGAAAACAAAAAAACAACAAACTAGTTACTTGGAATTAAAACAGATGAACAAAAAATAAAATAAGAAAGTACAATAAAAAAATTCTGTTTTGACAAGTAGTTTTCGTTGGTCTAAAAATAAAAGCGCAGTAACTTATCGTGCAGTTTCTTTAAAACGCTTATCATGTTTCTTTCTCTAACTGGCCAGGTGCGTACTGAAGTTTCACCCAGCTGGGTCTAAGCCTTCCCAAGCACGTTTCTCAGTGGGCTATTAAAATGAGATCACAGCGCTCAGTGATTGAGGCACTATGGGGTGCTGACACTACAATGCTGTAAGTCGATAATTCTGTTTCCCTCAACGCAGCTGACACACCGAATACATATAGACAGTCTATCAACAGTATCATATTGAAAATACTGGTGGCAATTTGCAAGACTATCAGTAGCCGGTGGATAATAGAGTGTATTTATTTGACAAAGACAGGACAGATGCAGAGAGGAAAGAAAAAAAAAAAAATAAGAAAGATACAAGATTACTTAGCAACATACATGTCAACACATTCAAAATTGCTCCCATTACAGCTGGCTAGGAAAGAATAGATTCCAATGGAACAAGATGAAAAAAAGTGTTTCCTTTTAAACAATGTTTCAAAAATAATAAATATTTCAAATGGAGCAAAAATATGCAAATAATTTTTGTTTCACTTTTAAATAATGCTTTGTTCTTTAAAAACCATGGGACCTTGAATAAATGACAATGAAATGAAACATTAGAAATCATAAAACGGCTTGGCCTTATACGTTGTATCGACCTATTTTCCATGTGAAGTGTTGTTTTCATTTAAAATAACAATGCAGTTCAATGCAGGCACATTCGGAGCACACAGCGCATTGAATTGGCAAGATGTAAGAAAATTGGAGTGAAATAAAAAAAAATAATAATCGTGTAATGTTTAACATCACATTTACAGGTTCTTTCCTCTGTTAAGTCTGTGGACAGGAAGAGATGTTTTGATTCATTTACAGTTCCACTTTCCTACCTTTTCAGAGCCCTGACAGATCTCTCTCTGGGAAAGGACACTGGCTGTGCGACTTAAATGAGGTTTCAGCCTCTCTCTAGAGCTTCCTCGGATAAACGCAGCAAGGACCATGAGATGCGAGGCTAAGGGAGACTTCTGTAGCGAAGGCAAAATCAACTTAAGGAACACTTCCGGGTTCACAAAGTACCCAATTAACTCAGCTGACTGCACACTCTGCAAAAAAACAAAAAACAAACTGCATTAGTGGTTATACATAAAAGATAGATAGTTCCACAATACAAAAACTATTTTTGCTTCGTACCATTTTTCTACCCCAATTTCAATTAAACCTCTAGAAGGCTCTGTGAGGTTTGCTTTAGATTTTTAAATTGGCATGTATGGCATGTAAAATAATACAGAATGGGCCAACATTTAGAGTAAGGTTTGAGGAGTCAATAACTTTTTTTTTTTATTATTATTATTAATGAACCAATATATTACATACAATAAATGCTTAACATATGGATATTTGTTTGACTTCGTATGGAAGATCACATCTTTTAAATGACCTCCATTTGGTAGGGTGCAATTGGCGCCGATTAATTATCTGTGGATTTTCTGTACCCCAGAAACGACAGTTTTCTTTATTGACAAAGACATTTAAATGAAAATGAGCTTCATTGCATTAGTTTAAAAATCATAATCATTGAGGGACCATTTCTTACATTCAGGTGGCAGAGGTAAGCCCTTTGCATTAAAATAATGGAACTGCCATTTTGAAATAATATTCCATTATTTTTACTTTGTGAGATTACCCACGATGAATCTCCCAAAACTCAGCTATAATATGTACATGCAAAAAAAAAAAAAAAAAGTAACTACTAAAAAATAAGTTACCGTATATACTCGAGTATAAGCCGACCCGAATATAAGCCGAGGCCCCTAATTTTACCCCAAAAAACTGGGAAAACTTATTGACTCGAGTATAAGACTAGGGTGGGAAATGCAGCAGCTACTGGTAAATTTCTAAATAAAATTAGATCCTAAAAAAATTATATTAATTGAATATTTATTTACAGTGTGTGTATATGATGAATGCAGTGTGTGTGTATGAGTGCGCAGTGTGTGTATAAATGCAGTGTGTATATGAGTGCGCAGTGTGTGTATAAATGCAGTGTGTATATGAGTGCGCAGTGTGTGTATAAATGCAGTGTGTATATGAGTGCGCAGTGTGTGTATAAATGCAGTGTGTATATGAGTGCGCAGTGTGTGTGTATGAGTGCAGTGTGTGTGTATGAGTGCAGTGTATGTGTGTATGAATGCAGTGTGTGTATGAATGCAGTGTGTGTGTATGAATGCAGTGTATGTGTGTATGAATGCAGTGTATGTGTGTATGAGTGCAGTGTATGTGTGTATGAATGCAGTGTGTGTGTATGAGTGCAGTGTATGTGTGTATGAATGTATGTGTGTATGATGCAGTGTGTGTGTATGAATGCAGTGTGTGTGATGCAGTGTGTGTGTATGAATGCAGTGTGTGTGATGCAGTGTGTGTGTGATGCAGTGTGTGTATGAGTGCAGTGTGTGTGATGCAGTGTGTGTGTGTGTGTGATGCAGTGTGTGTTTGTGTTGCAGAGCCTTGGTGGGGGGTGGGCATTTTTATAAAAAAAAATTAATATTATTTACATTTTTTTTGTTATATTATTATTTTTTTAATAATTTTTTTATTATTATTTTTATTTTTTATTATTATTTATGTATTATTTTATTTAGTTTTTAGTTCATTTTTTTGTTATATTATTATTTTGTTTATTATTATTTTTTATTATTTATTATTAATTTATTTATTTTTCGTCCCCCCTCCCTGCTTGATACATGGCAGGGAGGGGGGCTCTCCTTCCCTGGTGGTCCAGTGGCATTGGCAGTTCAGTGGGGGGAGGAGGGGGGCTGGCAGAGCTGTTACTTACCTCTCCTGCAGCTCCTGTCAGCTCTCTCCTCCTCCGCGCCGGTCTGTGCAGCTCTTCTGTCAGCTCCCACTGTAAGTCTCGCGAGAGCCGCACTATGACCCCGCGGCTCTCGCGAGACTTACACTGGGAGCTGATCGAGGTGCTGACCGCACCGGCGCGGAGGAGGAGGGAGCTGACAGGAGCTGCAGGAGAGGTAAGCGCTCGCTGCCAGCCCCCAGTCTGTATTATGACAATGTAAATTGCCATAATACAGACACTGACTCGAGTATAAGCCAAGTTGGGGTTTTTCAGCACAAAAAGTGTGCTGAAAAACTCGGCTTATACTCGAGTATATACGGTATTAACCTGTCAAATTCTACTCTGAATTTTGGCCCACCCTGTATTAAAACTTAAGCAATGGCTCTGTATGTGCAAGTGGTATGAGCATGCTCAGAGACTCATGATGAGATGAAGCTGCCATGGATAGCTAAATCCTGTGGAAGCAAGTACATTTTATACTTTCATCCCTTTCACTGCTTACCCAAGTAAATACTTGAAAAGCAGTTACAGGAGTGAAGGACCGAGGTGCGGTAACTTTGAGAGAAATCACAGTTTGCTTCAAACTCTTTAAGGGCTATGAAAAATGTGCTCCAAGCTTGGTAGTTCAGTAGTTCAAATTGCACTTGGTCTACGAAGATGTGTGTTGCTAATGAACAAAGAGGTCTTGAAAATAGATGCCACAACAGAGCAAATATAAACCAGAAGATGCACTGAAAACAGTATTTATGTATGTGTATGCCTTATAATAATACACACATCGGCTTTAATCTATGCAATCTTATTTTAATGAAAGAATGACAGATTTTCCACTAGGATTACTCATTCTGATAGAATTTCACCTGTCTGATAAAAATAATCAATTGGTTTTACAATGTGCAGACCCATCCCATCAACCACCTTCTCTCTAAACATGAAAAAACATGCATATTTTAAAAACTCACACTATGCACAACGCTTTGTTCCTCATCTAGGCATGATCGGTACAGGGTGCCGAGTACAAGCTCCATATGCTGAGTGGTGTGATCCTCCGCGTGCAAAAGTAAAACCGCAAGGAGCTGAGAAGCTTTAATCCTTGTTCCAACAACCCAGTCTGTGATATCATGACTGACGGCTGGAAGAATTTTGGATAGATTTCTGAATATAAGCTCCCGGCACCCCAATCCAGGTCTCTTTACTGAAAATAAAATAGCAATGAATAAATCAATACATTTCGGCTCACTGGTTACAGGTTCTGTTTGAGGTATGTTAAATAACTCTCATAAGAGTCAGTGATACCTTTCATTAGGCTTCCATTCATTCTGCACTACTTCCCTAGAAAATACAGGGAATTTGGCTAAATATTAACAAGAAGGAGAATTAAAGGGGATCTGTCACTTCCTAGGATTTGTAATATTATATTTACTTATCCCTATATTAAATAAATATGTGTGATGTGAGGTGTGAAGAATATAATTAAATGTCGAAATCTACACTTTATTTTGCAGCGAGGCACCTCCATCTTGGCTCCCTGTAGCCATTGTTATAAACTCTGTCCTTTGGACTGGACAGTCAGCATAGATAAAGCATACAGAGATTGGGAGAAATGAAACCCTATTTGGTGAATTCGAAGGAGGCGGGGCGCCGACCCAGCACCGAGGTAGATCAGTGCTGGTAATGGGTGAGTACAGTAAGGGTGTATTAATGCTTTCTGAGCTAGGGGAAGGGGGATGAGTGGAGGTGGGAAAAGAGGGAAGTATAGTTTAAGGAATACAGCTTTGTATTCCTTAGACTATAGTATCCCTTTAATTTATCTTATGATGAGGTCTTCCAAAGACTGTAAAGACTTAACTAGATAGAACATAAGCTTTACTTTATTCTTACAATAAATTACTCATAATTAACAGTAATAGAACAATATTCTAAATTATCCCAGTGATATAAAACATACAATTGCATTTTCCAAATACAAAATATTTTAGTTTCACAAGACAAACCAAAAATTATGCATTTTATCTGTGGGGACTCAGATGACTATTTCCAGTGTTTATCACAGTGCTTATAATTTTACATTTAAGATTCCTCTAGAATGTTAAAACAACCAAGGCATTAATAAAAAAGAAGAACGTGATAGCATCAGTTTTTTTTTGGTTTTTTTTAATGTAGCTGGTAATATAATTAAGTGAAGCAAGACTTTAGTTTGAAGATATTGTCTTTAATAAAAGATGCACAAATATATGGACGCAACTTCTAACACAATGTATACATTTAAAAGGCATTACAACAACTTAATTAGCTTAATTACTTCCTGTGTACAGATCATGAACCTGCAGTCTCAATGCTCATTCTCTGCTATTTAGGAGTTAAATCACTTCTGTTTACACATGTAGCCCTAGCCACAGCTCCCCTAGCAGTGAGTGACACCCTGCATGAAAAATGTTTTTTTTATTACAATCTTTAAATGTATTTCCTACTGCCTTGAACTTTAAATCACATACAGGAGGCTTCTGTGGGCTCTAGCAGGTTGTTAACAGAGCTGGAATTAGGAAATTCTACATTAAACAAATGAGCAGTAAAACAAATTTAAACATTAGATCTCACTTTACAGGAAGTGTTTAGGAAGGCTGTGTAAGTCACAGTAAGTGAGGTGTGGCTAGGGCTGATAAACTCCTAAATGGCAGAGAATCAAGCAGTGAGACTGCAGGGGCATGATATATATGCCACAATTGCTTTATTAAGCCAAAGTACCTCTACTATCCCTTTAAATTTGATCACTTGAGCAAATACACTTTTTTTTACCTGAAAATTGAGGAAAATTGAGTTATACGGATTTTAGGCCACTAAAGCAGAACAAGAAAAAACAGCTGAGCTGTATCAAACCACAACTAAACAAAAACGTATAAAAGTGTATTACATTTCCCTTCAACAGCCCTAGTTTTGTTCTCGAGAACGCTAAAGATGGGGAATTGTAAAGTGCAGTATCCCTGCTCATTTAAACATTTACCTCCTGCTGGGTAGTGAGATGGTGGAAGAGCACTGAAATCAAGTTTGTCTTTCAGATCATCTTCATTCTCTTTTTCCCACTGCAATCCGATTTTCTCCCAGTAACTCTGAGCAAGCTGCCTATTGTATAAAAATAAAATATTTCGATCTTAGGGAAAAGAATGAAAACATAACTATAAACATATACATTTAACATATAGCGGTAAATAAAACAAATGAGGCTGCACTCACCTGCATTATATGGTGCTGCGGGGGGCCAATTCATACAACATACAAGATCCAGTGCACTCACTCATTCACTAAACAGCAATTTCTAGTCTCACATAATGGAATAGTTTTCTTTAAAGGAACACGTGTTCCTGACCCTATAGTGTTAAAACCTCCATCTGGCCACCCCTGGCACCCTCAGGCCTTCCTAAACAAATCTTACTTGTATTCAAGTCTGCAGTTGCTGGCTCTGCCCCAGACCTTCATCTGTCTGCTGACATCAAAAGTGGTGGAATGAACCAATCACAATGCTTCCCTATAGGATTGGCTGAGTCTGTCAAGGAGGTAGATCAGGGGCAGAGCCAGTACAGACACAGCCCTGGCCAATCAGAAACTCCTCATAGAGATGAATTGAATCAATGTATCTCTATGAGGAAAGTTTGGTGTCTGCCATCCAGTGTTTCCTCCCTCTGCATGCAGTGCTGCTCACTGTGCATGACTGACCCAGGAAGCATCTCTAGCAGCCATCTGAGGAATGGCCAGTGGAGTTATCACTAGGTTGTAATGTAAACACTGCATTTTCTTTGAAAAGACAGTGTTTACAGCAAAAAGCCTGAAGGGAATGATTATACCCACCATAACAAATACAATAAGCTGGTGATTATAGTGTCCCTTTAAAAATACCTTACCTAGGCAAATAATGGGGGTTTAGTTACAGTATAAGTCATCAATGGCAGGCTTATGCAATGTATGATCATATAGTGTAACTAAACCCCATTATATTTTGCCTAGGTAAGGTGTTTTTAAATAAAACTACTACATTCTGTGATACTTGAAATTTATATTTAATGAACGAGCGAGTGCGCTGGATCTTGTATGTATCAATTGAGTTCATATAAAGAGAAATTTGGAAGAGTATTGTTCACTTAAAGGGACTCTATAGGCAGCCACATCACTTCATCTCAATAAATTGGTCTGGGTGCCATTTTCCCCCCATTTATTCCTGTAGCTGAAAACATTGCCGCAGAGATGCCAATATTTCCATTGCAGGATTAACCTGCCTCTAGTGACTGTCATTCTGAGTCACTAGAAGCGCTTCAGCGAAATAGTGGACTTAAACTCCCCAATTTCAACTAGATGGTGAGAGAGACCATCTGACTGGTGCAGTATGCGCACTAGCCCTCTAATGCTTTCCTACGGGAAATTGGGTTGGCTGAGATCATTGTTCTAGATGATCTCAGCCAAAGACATAGTGCTTCCCCAAATAGACCAGCACTGTGAAAGAGAAAAGGAGAGCAAAATACCATTTTGGACCCTGGTAGCGATTGGCATGTCACCTAAACAGTGACTAGGACACTAAAAACATTAGGAATACACATTTCTATTTGTAACACTATGATTAAATTTTGTATTAAAGGAACACCAATCTGTAAGCTGGATTGCAAAATTTTGGCTTTATGGATCCTACCAGTAACTATAGTCAAGTTGAAGGATTTTTCCAATTTGGCTATTTTTTCCCCCTACATTTTGCATATCTTCTCTTTTAAATTTACTCTGAATGATGTGTTTACTGAATACCCCACATACATGTTTTAATACTAACATGTTGACATATTTTTAGACATTTTAACACATTAACCTGTTTTTGAAAGTTCTTGAACAGGACACTATCTAACGTTTGATTTATTGTCCACACAAATTTCGGTTTGCATCATAAAGTACAATTCATCCTCACCCTTAAGATGTGGGAGGGAATCTGGAGGCCATTTGTAATTCCCCCTACTTGATCATAATTTTTAAATTAAGATTCAACTGTTGATCTTGGGTCCGTGTCTCTCTTTTAATGAGCTATGCAAGAGTGGTGTGTATTACAATTTAAACAAGGAACGGGTTTCCCAGAGGGTAAACAGTGATGAAAACAAACATGATGAGAGGATACAGGTCAAGAGAATGTCTGAAATTAGTTTATTAAACCCACTCCCCATGAGGATATTAATTACGCACAAGTGAATAGTTGTATTGGAATATGTTTTTTTTTTTTAAATGAATGACGTCTGGGAGAGATTAAACGATTAAATTGAGGGTACAAATACCACAATGGTTAAGATTAAAAAAAAAAATTGCTTCATAGCTACATAATATAAAAATTATATAGCAAACAATTGACAAATTTTATTTTTAAAAAGCTGGATTATGGACAATTTTTTTTCTCACGCCTTACCGAATCTCAGGAATTTCATCTGTACTGCTGCTCAGCATAAGAGGTATCAGTTTATGAAAGTATGAATATCTATCCCGCAGGTTCAAAAGCCAGTCCCCGATTACAATAGTTACAGCTTGGCGAACCTGAAAAATGAAGCGTAATTATAGTCTATCAATTAACTATTGTACTTGTATGATTGCAGCAGAATACGAGCTGCATGTAATGCAATCACTGGGAATCAAAAACCATTTCTTTGAGACAAGAATACCCAAGGGAAATTATAGCATTCACTAATCAGTTGCTTAGCAACAAATGTACTTTTACCTAAATACAACTTAATGCTATATTTGTCGTTTCATGTCTTGGATCACCCTGGAAACTAATCAAATGTGAATTTAGGGTAAGGAATAAATGAAATTGCTAATAAAAGTAAATATATATATATATATATTTACTTTTTTTTTTTTTTTGACATAAAGGGCCCCAGTTGTCAACTTGAGTTTCTTAAATAACACAAGGGATATGGATAAAACAAATGGTGAATATAAATGAAAGTCTTATTTAACACTAGATGATTACATGGCATAGTGTGTGATGGACAGAGTGAGTGGTTTACAATTGTCTTGATTGCATTATTTTCCTCCATTTACTGTTATGTATCTTTCATATTACAGAGAATTAAGTTAAGCTATCCAGACCACTTCAACTCAATAAAATGGGCTAGGTGCACTGGCACCGTCCTTTTAACTCTGCAAAATAAAATACTGCAGTTTTTTTGAAATTATTTTTCAATATCTGCAAGGTGAAATACTTCCGTAATTGCGGTCATACTGACAGCCACTAGAGGCACTTTCGCTGCACTAAGTAAAACTTGAAGAGAAAGCCGATAGTAAAGCACTGAATACAATGCTTTCCTATGGAGAAGCTAGAATGCTCGCACCACGCATGTGCATTAGGTTTACAATGCTCCTCCAGAAGAAACATTGGATTGGACCATCGCCAGAAGAAGCCATGCCTCCTCGATGACATCCAAGCAGGTGACCAATGTTGAGGGAGCCTCAGTGCTGAAAAAAAGGTAAGTAAAACTTTTATTTTATAGCAAACCGAGGGATACTTACAACTAAGGACAGAAGCACTATAGTTTTAGAAATACAGGTTTGTATTCCCAACACTACAGGGTTCCTTTAGGATTTAGTATACATGATTTTAGTTAGATTTTTAAGATAGGTGTAAAGATTATATATTTATATTACTTGATATTATATGGGATGTGCAGTGTTGGGGTTAAATGTTAAACACACACACATACATACATACACACACACACACATATACACACACACAAACGTGTTTACGAAATAGTACCATACTAGTCTCATTCTAAGACATAAATTGGAAGCAATGCATTGTCAATTGAGTGAATGGAAATCTTCTCCCCCAATTAATGCTACATGTTTGCAATACAAAAATAACAGCTTGTTTTTCAACTGAACACGTCCTAATGATGAAACTGTTGGACGAAAGTAAGAAGTATTTGCTGGCGCGCAATGCGTGTTATACCCAACAACCCACGAAAGGAATATAAAGAGAGCTTCCTTTTTGGCAAGCTGTACCTATTCCCACTCGCTCATCACAAACACATCAAATCTGAGAATGGAACAACTCAAAACCTTATAAACGTCAAGTTGCGTAGGAGAGGAATGTGGGGTATTGTATTGAAATGGTTTGAATACTCAGACTCTTTTTGGGGGGTTAAACTGGCAGAGGAAGACCTTACCACACAGATTTTTTGAGATCACTGAAGGTCATCATCTAATTCGATAGCAACAGACAAACAACAGGATATGATATATTTTATCAGAACGTGCACGCCTGTCAGTTGGCAATGACGTTGCCCAAACTAATACAGTAATATCTGATTGTTCAAATGCTGCAATTTATTAAAGTGGTATATGTGTAGTTTGTACATCTGTTCACATAGGTTACATATTCGTAGATTGTAAGTACGGCTGTACGAAATAATACAATAAATGAGAAATAAGACATTACCTGAGGGGCATCATCAAAAAGCCTTTGTGCAAGATGGGATAGGACATCGTCCACTGACTTCCCATTACCGTATTGGATTACTGCACCTGTTGTATGGATAACTGCCATACGAACTTTGGAGTGCTGATGTGAAATGGTCTGCATCAAAGGTTTAATGAGAGATTCCGACTGCATGTGGAAATGTTCTGAAACAGAATAGATAATTGTAATTTTAGTGATCAGGGAATGTTCGGGTTGATACAAATGAAAAATATACTATAGGAAAATCATATAATATAAAATCATATATTATATATCCCCAGAGTCAAAAGTACACAAACTAAATCATAAAGGAGCACACACAAAAGAAACATTAAACAGCTTTATTGCAGTACATACTAGGCCCTCATGAGACATAAGACAATATATAACCAAAGCATAAACAAATGCACTAACTTAACACTTGGTGGTAAACCACAATTCATATAAAAATGTATAAACAATCCAAAATATAAAGCATAAAACAGAAAAAAAAAACCTAAACAAAAACAAACCTAGCATAAAAGGAAAATAATACATACCAAATAAATAGAACAAATATAAACATAATAGACTAAGAGAAAAGGGAGATACACAGGTCACTAACGAAACAAGAAAAATGATACCCCCAATGTTTCGGCAAATAGCCCTTGACAAAAGCTATCTACCGAAATGTTGGGGGTAGCATATTTTTTTCTTTAGTTTGGGGATATTATTTGTCTAATGTCTCATGAGGATCTGGTATGTACTACTCAGGGATAGGCAACCTTCGGCACCTCAGATGTTGTGGTCTACAACTCCCTTGATGCATTGCCAGCATTATGGCTGTAAGAGCATTATGGGAGATGATGTCCAAAACATCTGGAGTGCCAAAAGTTGCTTACCCCTCTTACATATTTGCAATAAAGCTGTAGAATTTTTCTTTTGGGTGTGATCCTTTATAATTTAGTAATGAAAACACTGTCTTTGAAAAGGCAATTTTTACAATAAAAAGCCTGCAGGGACATACTATACTCACCGGAATAACTACATTGAGCTGACTATAGTGTCCCTTCAATTAAAGGGTTTTGGTGTATAGATCATGCCCTGCTGTCTCATCGCTCAATACTCTTGCATTTAGGATTCAAATCACTTTTGTTTATGCAGATCTAGCCACACCTCCCCTAGCTGAGAATCACACAGCCTTGCTACACATTTCCTGAAAGAGTATCATATTTTACCATCCTTATTGCACAGGAACTTCTAATGGGTGAACAAAGGGTAGATCCCCACATATTGTAAACCTGACACTTCCAAGATCCTTTGCCATTCATCATGATAGTTCATATTGTGTGCTGTATGAATTAACTGAAAATAAAACCTATTTTTCATGGATATTGTGTGAGTCACAGCCAGGGTAGGTGTGAGTAGGCCAGTATAAACAGAAACAAAAGGGATTTAAAGGGACACTTAATGTAGTTATTTTGGCTGGAGAGTATAGTATGTCTCTGCAGGCACTTTAATGTAAACACTGCCTTTTTAGGAAAAAGGCATTGTTTACATTATTGCCTGGCAACAACTTCAGTGGCAGTCACACGGACGTTCAGCATCCCCACACTCTGAACTTCCCCACAGAGATTTCGTGAGTTAATGCATCTCTATGAGGAGGTGCAGCACGTAATTTTACCGCTCATGCGCGATAGGCACCCAATGCTTTCCTATGGAAATTGTTGAGCTAAGGGGGCAGAGCGTGGGCGATGCCAGCCATGACAGGACCTGTGCAACGCTAGAAAAAGGTAAGTAGATCACCTTTGTAACCGGAGGTAAGCTGTGACCGGCAACCTAAACTGTTATATAGACCTATAGTGTCAGCAATAAACATTTGTATTCCTGACACTATATAGTATGCCTTTACCCCAAAAATGGAAGAGAACTGAGCAGTGAAACAGGGGCAAGATCTATACACCAGAACTGCTTCAGTAAGCTAAAAATGTTTTGGTGCTTAGTGTATTTAAAAGAACAATATAGGGTCTGGAACACAAACATGCATTCCTGCCCCTATAGTGTTAAAAACATAATCTAGCCCCCCTGCCTGCCTCCCCTAAATATAGTGAAATCTTACTTTTATTCAAGTATGTTTCTGTTGGCTCTGTCCTTGACCTGCCTGCTTGGCTGACATCATCAGAAGTTATTCTGTGAGCCAAATCACAATGCTTTCTCATAGAATTGGCTGGGACTGTCAAGGAGGCAGTTCATGGACAGAGACAACACAAGTCAAACACCAGCCCTGGCCAATCAGCATTTCCTCATAAAGGTACATCAAATCAATGCATCTCTATGAGGAAAGTTCAGTGTCACCATTCAGAGGGCAGAGACACTGAATGGCAGTGCTGCAAATTTGCAGCACTACCCCAGGAAGCACCTAGTAGCCATCTTAGGAGTGGTCAGTGGATGTATATCTATACTGTAATGTAAACACTAAATTTTCTCTGAAAAGAGTGTTTACTGCACAAAGCCTAAAGGGAATGATTAAACTCACTAGAACAAATACAATAAGCTGTAGTTGTGCTGATGACTATACTGTCCCTTTTAAGTTTAAAGGGACACTATAGTCACCAAAACAACTTTAGCTTAATGAAGCAATTTTGATGTATAGATCGTGTCCCTGAAGTCTCACTGCTCAATTCTCTGCTTTTTAGAAGTTAAATGACTTTGTTTATACAGCCTAGTCGAACCTCCCTGCATGTGACTTAAACAGCCTTCCTAAACACTTCCTGTAAAGAGTAATCTAATGTTTACACTTGCTTTATTGTAAATTCTGTTTATTTCTTATCTCCTTCACTGTTAATAGCTTGCTAGACCTTGCAGGAGCCTCCTGTGTGTGATTAAAGTTCAATTTACAGAGCAGAAGATAAAAACTTTTAAAGTAAGTTACATCTGATTGAAAGTGAAACCAATTTTATTGGCCAGGGGAGGTGTGACTAGGGCTGCATAAACAGAAACAAAAATGATTTAACTCCTAAATGACATATAATTGAGCAGTGAGACTGCAGGAGCATGATCTATACACTATACCTGCTTCATAAAGCTAAAGCAGTTTTGGTGACTATAGCGTCTCTAATTTACAGCCCTTGTGAGTCCTATTACTTTAAATACACCAGATTTGTTTTGTATTTCATACTTTTTGGAGCACTTGCAGTGTATGTAGCAACACTAACCAGCACCTATTCATAATTCATTTCCCGCCTAACCTAGTAAAGAGCTATGAAAAAATGTAGTCCAACAAAACCTGACGGTTGAACTAAATGCCTGATAATCATGCCTTATAGCAACAGGAACGTCTTAATACTACAACTAGTATCTTACTCTTATAGTAAGGTATAAATTCCTTATGATAAGAGGTCACATAAGCTTTATTTACTTAGGCTGTAATACTGGACATACAACTGCATTCCGAAAGTAGGTAGTTGTTATAGAAGTTCTAGAATACTCCATTTTCAGCTGGCAGACAATTTTAGCAATTTAAAAACACAAAAGGTGGGTGGCAGCACTTCATTTTGAGAACTATGCATTATCAAATGGCTGAATTGCATTTACTAGTAAATCTGTCCCAGCATAAACAAGTATCACTATACTACATTTTTCTGACTTTTCGTTGCAAAGTTGTGTACTGATCAAAACAGTGGTCTATAGCCAGGTATATGCATCCTTCGGCACTCCAGATGTTATGGACTACATCCCACATAATGCTCTTACACTTTTAGGTCTCCCCCGTCGGAGGGGGAGGGGCCTGACCTAGCCCCGAGAGACTTTGGCACTGGATTCAGGTAAGTCACGCTGGACATCCACACGCTCTGTATGAGGACCTTCAGCGTCGCCGTAACCTATGGGGAGGTCTAATGTGTGCTTGCGTCCATTGCCGCGCATGAGCATTAGGTCTCCCCCGCCGGCGGGGGAGGAGCCTGACCTAGCACCAAGGGACATCGGCGCTGGATTCATGCAAGTCACTGAAGGGGTTTTAACCTTCAGCAACATGAGAGTGGGGTGGGAGGGAGAGGGGCACTGCAGAGTCCGGATATGGTTTCCTGCCACTGGAGAGTACCTTTAAGGGAGGTGTAATCCAAAACACCTGCAGTGCCGAAGGTTGTCTATGCCTGCGAGTACTGAATGCAAGCATAAGGACCAGAGAATAAGGAAGGCAGGTCTACAAGAGTTATTAGATATTCTTGTATGCCTATACTCCAATAAAAGGCATCACCTCTTCTCTTATTGTCTTCTATAGCATTGTAAAGTTTAAATTTCAACCCTTACAAATAATATTTTCTTGTTTTACAGCTGTTGCAAAGTACGTATCACATATCACACTCACCTAAGGCTGGCTGAGCATGTTTAAAAAATAAATGTCAATTGCTGTATTGACGAATGTTAGCCATGCCTGCTTAATGCCTTAAAAAACCCCACATCTTTCCTGTAAACCCCCTCCCCACCACCCTTACTTTATGTATACTACCTGGCATACACTTGGCAAGGCTTGTGGCACATTTGCAGCTTTCTTTCTTCACCTCTGGGAAAGGATCCGTGATGGTTCTTTGTAATATCCTGATCAGATCATCCAGGTAAGGGGCCAGCTTTCTCCCCCCACACACTTCGATGAGTAGGGCCAGGAGCTCTGTCAAGGCGAGCCTGAGCTCCTCTGTGGGCTCCACGATCTCAGGGCTCCCCAGTCTCTGTGTGATGGCTGGTATCAGGTAGGGCAGGGCCTCCTCGGGGTTGGGCACGTTACTCACACAGTGACTGGCGATCTGGGTGGCCAGCTCCCTGCACTTCTCCATGGGGTCTGACAGGCACTTGAGCAGCGGTTTGAGCAGCTCCCCGAACACCTCTTGGAGGGCCACGCTGGACAGCCTCTTATCCTGGGCCTCCTGCTGGATAGCCCCCAGCGCTTTCCTTCTGCTAAACTTATTGTCGTCATTCAGGCAGTTCAGGTGCCGAGCTATGGCCTGAAAGACTTCAGAGGCCGCACGTTGCTCACCGTCCGCCGCCATTGCTGTAACCACTGGTAACCAAAGCGCTTCCCTCTCAACACAGCGAAAACAACGGCGCGTTCAAAGCAAAAGCAACTTTATTGAAAGCGCAACGGCGCACAGGGACAAACAGGCATTTGGTTGCCAAGCAACGCAAAGAGCCAGGCAGCCCCTTTCCCTGCATCTCCCTTTAGCCTGTGTTCTGTATAACTCCCTGCTGGCCTATTCCAGCTGCACACATACAGTCTGCTGGGGGAATGATATGAATTTAGTAATAAATACTATAGAAAAATAAATATAAATGGCAGCATAGTTGTTGATGTGGCCTAAACCTGGAACACTGCAAACTCACAATATTAAAATTGGCAATTACCAACTGTGGTCCAATTGTAGATAACACACATTATTCACTACATTTTGTATTGTAGGGAAATTTGTACTTGAAATTCACTTTGAATTCACACTTTAGTCGATAGCCCTGATAGTATCTTCAATGTTCTCAGTTAGGCTATTTTATCCCAAATCTTACATAGAAACATAGAATGTGACGGCAGATAAGAACCATTCGGCCCATCTAGTCTGCCCAATTTTTTTATAAATACTTTCATTAGTCCCTGGCCTTATCTTATAGCTAGGATAGCCTTATGCATATCCCATGCATGCTTAAACTCCCTCACTGTGTTAACCTCTACCACTTCAGCTGGAAACATAGAAACATAGAATGTGACGGCAGATAAAAACCATTCGGCCCATCTAGTCTGCCCAATTTTTTTTTTAAGTACTTTCATTAGTCCCTAGCCTTATCTTATAGCTAGGATAGCCCTATGCATATCCCACGCATGCTTAAACTCCTCTACTGTGTTAACCTCTAAAGGTTAAATTCACTTGAATTCACTCTTCCTTAACAATTCACACTTTTGTAAATAATCAAGCTAAAATTGCGAGCACTTAAATGAGTTACTTGTCTGAATTGATGCATGACTTAAGAATCCATTGGCTACAATCTATGTCACAAAAAATAAAATAAAAACAAGCACACATTTCTTTCATACCTGACAAGTGTTTATTAATACTTTAAATGTGAGGACAAGAGGAACAATCAAAATAATCTTTGAAAATACTTATCAGTAAATCACCTATTGTAATGCAGTGTTTATATTATCCCATGAGTGAGTGTGTGAAGGGACGACATGGGTTTTCATAATATTTATTTGTGTAAATAATTCTGAGGCCTTCACAAATATTGCTATGAAATGTTTGGTCGGGAACTATATATTCATTGGTTATAGCCTCAATAAAAATATTTGAAACCAATTGAATGACCAGTGCTCATTAAAGGACCACTCTAGGCACCCAGACCACTTCAGCTTAATGAGGTGGTCTGGGTGCCAGGTCCAGCTAGGGTTAACCCATTTTTTCATAAACATAGCAGTTTCAGAGAAACTGCTATGTTTATGAATGGGTTAAGCCTTCCCCCTAATCCTCTAGTGGCTGTCTCATTGACAGCCACTAGAGGCGCTTGCGTGCTTCTCACTGTGATTTTCACAGTGAGAGCACACCAGCGTCCATAGGAAAGCATTGTAAATGCTTTCCTATGAGACCGGCTGAATGCGCGCGCAGCTCTTGCCGCGCGTGCGCATTCAGCCGGCGGGGTGTAACGGAGGCGGAGAGGAGGAGGAGAGCTCTCCACCCAGCGCTGGAAAAAGGTACGTTTTTACCCCTTTCCCCCTTCCAGAGCCGGGCGGGAGGGGGTCCCTGAGGGTGGGGGCACCCTCAGGGCACTATAGTGCCAGGAAAACGAGTATGTTTTCCTGGCACTATAGTGCTCCTTTAAGGTAATTTTACCTTCTGAAGCTTAACTTTGATTATATCAGTGTAGCTACGATTAGAAGGCTCTAATGTGACTATACATGGGGCATGTCAATTGTCATGTGGGTAGCATGGTTGGCACATAGTGCTAGCCAAATAACAAACTAGTGACAACTTATTCCACAGCACGTTACAATATTATAAAAAGGTGAAATTTAACAATAAATGAGCCAATTACAAAATGTTACAGGTACAATAGATTGATGAGGACCCTGCTCAAATGAGTTACCAGTCTAGACTTGAGTTGAGACATAGCTACCGTGGAACGTATTTGACATTGTTTTGTTTTCTTTTGTGTTTTTTCTATGCTGTCACAGGTCACATCATTTTTTATCTTGCTGGATTTTTTTTCAGACTAGCTATATTGGTCACAATGTACAGTTCCCTTGTCAATCCTCCACATTCCCAAATTTAAGGGAATGAGACCTCAGGGCTACACACGTTCTGTCCCCCTGTCTCCCAATGACTGTCTGTGTGTTTAGTGACAGTATTTCCCCCCTGTATGTCTGTGTGTTTAGTGACAGTGTTGTCCCCCTGTCCCACAGTGTTTGTCTGTGTGTTTAGTGACAGTGTTGTCCCCCTGTCCCCCAGTGTATGTCTGTGTGTTTAGTGACAGTGTTTTCCCCCTGTCCCCCAGTGTATGTCTGTGTGTCTAGTGACAGTATTGTCCCCCTGTCCCCCAGTGTATGTCTGTGTGTTTAGTGACAGTGTTATCCCCCTGTCCCCCAGTGTATGTCTGTGTGTTTAGTGGCAGTGTTGTCCCCTGTCCCCAGTGTATGTCTGTGTGTTTAGTGACAGTGTTGTCCCCTGTCCCCAGTGTATGTTGTGTTTTGTGGTGTTTATCCCCTGTCCCCAGTGCGTCTGTGTGTTTTAGTGGCAGTGTTGTCCCCTGTCCCCAGTGTATGTCTGTGTGTTTAGTGACAGTGTTGTCCCCCCTGCCCCCAGTGTATGTCTGTGTGTTTAGTGACAGTATTGTCCCCTGTCCCCAGTGTATGTCTGTGTGTTTAGTGACAGTATGTCCCCTGTCCCCCAGTGTAAGTCTGTGTGTTTTGACAGTGCCAGGTATAGCAGGGACTTTCCTGGAAAGCTACACAAGTAGAGATGCTTGAAAACGAGGTCGTGTGACGTCAGCAGCTGAATCAGCCAGAGCATCGCAGATAGCCAGGGCCCCGGTCACCGACACCTACCGCTCCAGCCCTGGGATCACGGTGAGTGAATGGGAGGGGGCTTCTAGATCCCCCCACCCCAGAGCTGCAAACACCCTTCTAGACTGCCCATTGCCACCTCTGTCCCTTTAAACCCCTCCTTCTTCCTCCTCGGATACCTAATGGTAAGAATCCTTATAATGCAGCACCATCACAGCCAGGAAACCCACATACACACAATGCAACAACAACAACAACAACAACAACTGCACCACAATGCACAACACAATACCCGCAGTGTGCTGTAAACACCCCTTATCTGCACACACATACCTTGCATGCCCCCCCCCATCTCTGCTTTAATCAGGGGGCCCTTATAATGGGGGAACCCCCCACAGGGTAGGGAAGTAGGACCCAGTGCATTATAACCCCGCATGTCTGATTCTGCTGCAGTTATGGCCTGGATCATAACAACACATACAGTATTCAGCTCTCTCTCTGCACACACCAGATGTTTGCACACACAACAGAGTTTGCACAGAGATAATCACAATACACATACTGTTTAGATGTCATTATAGTAAATAAACACACACAAACACACACACACACTCTCTCTCTCTCTGTTTTCAGAAATTGCAGTGAGCACAAATACACACACTTCAGATATCATTATAGTAAATAAACACACACACTTTTCAGGAATCATTACAGTAAGCACAAATACACACACTTCAGATATCATTATAGTAAACACACACACACACTGTGTTCAGGAATCATTACAATAAGCAGAAAATGCACACACTGTATTAAGAATACATAGAGAGATACTGTACATGTTTACATGCAGATACAGTTATTGTAATTTAGGATTGCGCATAAAGATTAAGCACACACAAACACAATCATACAGCAGCTCCTGGCAGCATATAAACATGACACAAATAAGCACAATGTACACGTTACAATCCACGCTAGTGTGGTTTGCATCTGCATTCTTTGGAGTTTATTCATCAAACAATAATTGTAGGTAATTCTAGACGGACTTGCCCATTGTAGGCTAAAAAAGCCAAGCTATGACTATAGCTGTGATGGCGTATTTGCCAAAAACATATATTTTTGTCTACATTTTTTTTTTTGGTTTTCAATATGCGTCGTACACATTTGTGCTTAGTAGTTAAATCCCCTTGTGCACGGTCATGAATGCACAGGTTTGTACCTATTTAATCATTTATTTGTTTTAAATGTATTTTTTCTATGGTTTGTTGTTGTTTTTGTACGCCATTGTGCATGTACATCTTCTCATGTGCTTGGATTTAGAGAGCCCTTCCAGTTTGTTCTGGAGTGATGTGTTTTGCAAACGCTGCATTGCTGGCATAGGGATAAATATGGTTATTAAATACTTCCCTTGTTCGAAAGTTAGATTACTGGGAATTGCAATTGGTGCAAGTTACACGTAATGTGCTTATTTACTTTACAGATCGTTAAAAACAAAACAAAAAACTGTTATTCGACTTTCAGTTATGTAGTGCTCACTCAAAATGTTGTAACTTTGCTAGAAAAACATAACCACATATACACTGAACAAAATGATAAACGCAACAGTTTTTTGCCCTCATTTTTCATGAGCTGAACTCCAAGAGCTAAGACTTTTTCTATGTACACTAGAGGCCTATTTCTCTCAAATATTGTTCACAAATCTGTCTAAATCTGTGTTAGTGAGCACTTCTCCTTTGCCGAGATAATCCATCCACCTCACAGGTGTGGCATATCAAGATGCTTATTAGACAGCATGATTATTGCACAGGTGTGCCTTAGACTGGCCACAATAAAAGGCCACTCTAAAATGTGCAGTTTTACTGTATTGGGGGCTTCCAGGGGGGGGTCCAGTCAGTATCTGGTGTGATCACCATTTGCCTCATGCAGTGCAACAAATCTCCTTCTCATAGAGTCGATCAGGTTGTTGATTGTGGCCTGTGGAATGTTGGTCCACTCCTCTTCAATGGCTGTGCAAAGTTGCTGGATATTGGCAGGACCTGGAACACGCTGTCGTAT